CTTGTTCTGTAATCCTGGGTAAGCCACTCAGCCAGTTGTACTTAGATTTTCCTCCTGCATTAGCTGTTGATTCATTGCTTTGCACTGGGTAGGACTGCTGGGAATGCATCATTTCCAGTGCATGCACAATGCCCTGCAGTGGCTAGGGTCATTTAAGGACCAGCTGTGAAAATTTGGCTATGCTCCTCACTTTCCTTCCCTCCTTGTCATTGGGCTGTGGAAAAAATGAAGAAAAACCAACACCCCAAATTTGTCATGTGCACATGGTGGTCAGGGTCACCTAGATAAGGGCTTGGCTGTTGGTAGCATTTTATCCACGACTTTCCTGTACCTCTTTAACACTGCTTACAGCTACAAGAGGAGAAGCTTTCTGAGGGAATAAATTGGAAATGATGACCCTGTAGTGCTACCTTGAAAGTAGTACCTCCCTTTTCTAGGAAAAGCAACTTGTGTCTGTTCTTTCTGCTTGTTGAAATTTGAAGTTTCTGTGCTCAAGTTTTTCATTCTTCAGCTTCGAGGCTTTGAAACTGTTTGGATGCTTGAGTTTCACATGTAATTATCAGTCTCTAGATGTTGAGTCTTAAAGTCCCAGCTGTCACAAGCATCAGGAACCAAACTGGAGGAGCTGTCAGTCTATAGGCATAGGCAGGTGGCGTGACTTACCCATGGCCATATGGCCAGCTGAGTCAGGATTAAGCCAAGTCTTATGATTTTCCTAAACAATGCCAAGCCTTTGGGAGCTAGCTGACTTTCTGCCACAGCTTTGCAGAGGTCAAACCTCAGCTTATGCCTTGGGTAGTTAAAATAGTCATGTAAGACTGGTGTGAGTTTCCTCAGTGTAGAAATCCAGGAGCTGGTGCTAGCTGTCTTTATGGCAGACAATTTCCTGTTCTGTGCTGTGTCTGAGAAAACCTGTGTTTGCTTTCCAGATTCTGGGAAAGTTGTCTTGCAGGAGCAGGTGAATTTTTGCTTGCTAAGCCCCAGCACATACTATAGCAGGAGTTACCTGGTTTAATCCATAGCTCTGTATCAGGTTTTTCAGGTGTTGGACACTGCCCAAGCCTGGACTGTGCAGTATCAGAGCTGACCTTGAGCATAGGCAGCCAAACCTGCCTATGGGGTGGGGGAAGATAGGGCTGAAGAAAAACATTACACACCAGGGTGATTTGAGCATGTTGCATTGGAGTCCTCTAGATCCCTGGAACTTCCGTCCTCCCATTAGATCTCCCAGGCCCTGGGAAAGGAGTTTTTTGTCTTCAGCACATTTCCCAGAAGTGAAGGTGGCTGAGAATTTGTTTGAACTGAAGGTGGGACTCCACCTCTTGTGGAGTTGATGCTGGTCAAACCATCTACCCCGAAAATAGTCCCACAAAGCTTTGTCAGCACCCACTGGCTGCAGTAGGCACCCCGTTTCTATCAGCATGTTCATGGGAACAGTGAATGTTTTCACACAGTTTCAAAGGGAGGCTGGACAAGTGTCATGGAAGATAAGGAAGGAACCACGTGGCTCAGGAATTGCCTCGGGCTGACAGTGGCTATTAGTTGGCAGATGTCTTCAGGGAAGTCTTCTCTTTGCTTGCCCTGCTGTAACTCTTCCTTCACCAGCCATTCACAGCCACTGGTGAGGGCAGGGTGCTGGGCTAAACAAACTCTGCTGTGGCCCACTGCACACCTTTTTATGATGGAAATCAACAGCTTAAGATGCAGAGATTGTCCTGACTTCACGTTAGGTGTGGAAATTGATTCTTACCTTTTCCTGACAGATGGGACCTGGAAAAACTAATGCTGGGAAGGTTTGGTTACAGCCACTGGTTTTGTTCCTGGAGGTGGCTTGACTTCATCTCTCTGGTAGAGCCTGGCAGGTTTGCCTGACCAAAAGCATTAGCTGCCTCTACACATCTTCTCTGCCTTTGCCCTTGTGTTAGGAAAGCATGGTTCTTCCCAAGCTGATCTTCCTGCACTTAAGCCAGCTCTGTTTGCCTCACTTCTGGGTACCAGTCCACAGTTCTGGCACTCCAAAGACCTCAGCCTCTTTCAAAGTGGTCCTTCTGTGGCGTTGTGCATCGTGCTGATGAAGATGCTGCCCCTGACCTCTGCACTGATGTTGTGTAACTAGGGAAGGTATGGCAGCACTTGTTAGACTGAGATCTACTTTGTGCCTCACTTGCACCATGCAGTGCCTTACAAACAGGGACAGACAGGAAGAATTTCTCAGTCACAGGCTTCTGGAAGAGAAGTCCATTAAAGTTGCAATGTATTTTGCTTCCTGGGGCTCTCTCTTATTTGCTGCTTTGTTCCTCTGCAAGTGCTGTCTCACCATTGAAAAAGCCACATCTGGCTTGAAGCCACTTGAAGCAGCTTGGACAAGAGACTTCCTGCTCTGAACATTGAATTAATGGGCTTGGTCTTTTACACGAGTGAAATCCTTTCAGACTTTTGTCCATGTCAGGCTCCCAGCTCTTCTAATTAAGAGGCTTTTAACTCAGCCAGTGGTTTGGAGCTACAGTGCAGCTGGGCTTTTGATAAAATGAGGAAATGCTAGAGGTAGGGACGTAATGGGTTGGATTTCAGCTTCAAAAAAATGTCTCTGAGAGAGAACAGAACATCCTTCTTGCACCACCTTTTGTTTGCTGCAGCAAGGCTGGGGAGACGTCAGCTGTGTGGGCTGCTCTAGAACGGATGAAGCTGATAAGAAGAAAGTAAAGTCATCTTTACTTCTGGGGTCCTCAGTGTCTCTTAGGCAGCTAGAGGGATGTTTTCAGAAGCACTGCTTACTTGTGCCTTTTCTTATTCTGGTTATTTTCTACAATCCTGTCACGGCTCTTGCTTTGAAATGCCTTTTGCTTTCCACCCCTGCTGCTGTCTGGAACAGGGTGCTGCTTGTGCTGAGGCTGTATCTTTGTAAAAGGAATGGCTCTAGAAAAAATCCTCAGGAAGGTGGCCTGTAGAAGCCAATAATTATCGTTCACCAGTGTGGCTGTTATTCCTCTCTGTAATCACTTGTAAAATCTAGGAAGCATAAGATATTTGGGTCCTTTTTGTTTTTCTTTCAAGGCCAGCTTTGCCACTTTTACTTGAATATGAAAAATAAGGTGGTGTTCTTTCTGACTTCTTTACTTCTTACAGACAATTACCAGAAGCAAGCTGCCTGTCCAGCTAATGCATAGAATCTAACTTTAGTCTCCAAATTTTTCTGTGTTGGCTCCATAACACAGAAAAATGCCTGGTAGGAGGGTTTGTTTGAGAAAGTATAAAAAATAAGGAGATAGACCACGTTTTTCTCTCTTGCTCTTTCTCCCTTTCTTTCTTCTGTTCTATTCCACAAAGCTTCAGTCCAACTCTGTGTCTATTGCTTGCCAGGGATGTTTACTTGACTAGAAACATATAATAGTACCCATTTATAGGTAGTCTTCTGCAGAGTTTAGTGTCACTCGAGCAGATATTTATTTGAAACAGAGGTGCCCTGGAAGAACACCGATTTGAAAGGGGGAATGAAGCGTTCTACTTGTTCTGTGAAGCAGAACCACAAGTCAAAGAGCGTGGAGCATAATTGCCTTCTCCTTTTGTGTCAGCTTCATATCGTTCTCACATGTGACATTCTTCCTGGCCATCGTGCTCTTTATCCTCCCATTGTACCAAGAGTGCAAACAGAATTAGTTTGTTATCATGGCATCTGTACGTGGCTTTCAATTTCTTGGAGGTTAAAAAAACCCAAGCAACCCAACCCTCAAGCCCTCTTTGTCCAGTGCTGTTTAAATCTGCTCTCAGCCTGCTTGCACAGCTCACTTCTGCCCTGCAATGCAGAAAGCAGGTCTGCAGACAGAGAAATCTAAAGCAATCAGTGCATCAAGGCTTCAAAAATGTGGTGGCATTGCTGAAGAGGAGCTGTCTGGAGAAGGTGTCTGATTCCATGAGATCAGTAAGTCAGAAGGTGGCTTGGTGTAGGGGTGCATTGGAGGCATTTTTACAGTCACAGTGCTAAGCTGAAATGGGTGCTCCCATTCCTTTTTGCTTTAGGTACTTGTAAGTGATGGGAAATATTTTCTTTGGCCTCTGAAATGTCTCCATAGTTTTGTGGTTTCCTTCCTTTGAAGGTGAATGTTTCAGATTAAAATTCTGTTTGGCAGCTCATGAGTTCTCAAAACAGAGGCTTGAAGGCAAGGGGTCAGGAGTGCCCAGCTTATTAAATTTTTCCCAGTGTAGGAATTGTCTGACCTTTTTTTGTACTGTAACAACATAAAAAAAAAAAAATATGGAGCTACTATTTGGAAAGCATTAACAAGAAAATGTCAGAGGTGGAAGGCCAGACAGAGGACGTGGCTGGGAATGACATTTCTTCTTCTCTTTCTTCTGTCACTTGCACAGATCATCCTCCTATCTGCTCTCATCCTGCTCTGGCTTTTTGCAGTTTTCATGCAGGTTTGGTGCTCAAAGGCGTGGTGCAGAAAAGCAACAAGAGAAGGAAAAGTACATGTTATTCCCAGAGGAACCAAGACCAGAGAGGAGCAGCTTGCAGCCTTTGAGCCCTGTCTTAACTGATGTGGGACTATCACTGTGCTCCTGTGCAGATTTCCCTGTGTGCTTTAATATTCCCTTCCCACTCTCTTGTCTCTGCTGAAACCTTCCCTTGGCACCTGGCTTTCACCAGCAAAGAGCTGGGACTGCACTGTGGGTCTGAGGAAGAGGAGAGATGGCAGCAGAGCCTCCCTGCTGGGCACAGGGTGGAGGTTACAGATATGTGGATGGCTTAGCTACACCCACCTTGTGTACAGGGTTTACCTACACGTGGTGTGTCTCTGACACAAACTCCCTTTCCTCTCTCTGCTTAGTTCATAGAAACAGGGAATATTTTGGGCTGGAGCAGACTTCGAAGGTTATTTTATCCAGATACAGATGCTGAATGTTGTTCTTTGAACCACAGAGGCATTTAACTATATCAAGTGTGGGTTGGAAGTGGAGGGTCATGTTTCACTGGGTTTTCTCTATTTCCTGCCCTACAGCTCTTCTGTTTCGCCCTGCCCTGGAGAAAAAGACTTTGAGAAGATGGAGAACCAGAGTGGAGTGCTCTTGGGATACGTTTGCTGGGAAGGAAAAGAGGAAGGGGTTGAGGAGGATGGGGTAGCTCCTCGTGTGTCTCCTCCCAGCCAAATGAGCAGACTGGAAGATGTGCAAGTGGAGATGCTTGAGAAGGCAAGGGAGCTCTTCCAGCTCTGTGACAAGGATGAGAAGGGTTTTATCACCAAGGTGGACATGCAGGTGAGGCAAAAAAATTATTCCTCTGTCCTGGGAAGATCTGTAAAGTCATGAGTGGCAAAACAGGGAACAATGTGACATGCCTTCAGTCTTGGTGAGTGTGTGTGTGGCCTCTGTCTTACTCAGATTTCTAAGAACCAAAGTCTGGCACAGACAGCTGCTAGGAAATAAAACTCCCAGGAGGGCTTCGCACTTCCAGGGAATTCCTGAGACAAGTGGGACTACAATTCAAAAATTTTAAGGAATGCATAAAATAAAAAAAGTCATGACTGTTCTTAGAAACATCAAGCATGCAGTGGATGGGAAATCTGGAGGGGGAAAAAATATTTGTTCTAATTAAAATAAAAAACAAACAACAAAACAAGCCCCCTCCCAAAACCTACATGATGAACAATCCATCAACCTCTCAAAAAAAAGTTGAGGCAACAAAGTGATACAATCATAGCTTCAGCCTAGTCCAAAAACTCACCTTAGACCTGAACTATACCTTTGCTCTACAATTATGTGCTTTGCTGCTTTCTGTTAAAAAAGTACTTGTTAACAAAATCTCTGTAGTTCTTAGTGAGTTTAGTTTTAAAGGTTTATCAGGAAGGTTACATGTGAATTGCTTTTCTCCTGTCCCATCTCTCTTCACATCTATAAATAACGCTTGACACGTCCATGCCACTTTAAGTATTGACTCACTTTGCTTTGGGTTGTATGATGCCTAATTTTTACAGTTATATTAATACATTTTTATTAAGTTTTAATCTAAAGCTGCATGTTTAATGGACAGTTAGGAGGTTTTAGTCTACTAGACCCCTTTGTTATTTGTTTCTTTGGGTGCCACTGCACACTAGGTGCTCTGGATGTGTATTATGAAGGGGAGTTGTTTTGCTCCTTGTCCACATGGGGAGTAGTGATACAGTCCCAGCAGACAGAAGGTGACAGAGGAAAGCTAACTCGCTGTTAGGGACTGAATGTTTTCTTTAGGATCTGCAAGAGCTTGGAACTGCATCCAGATATCCACAAGTGTGACCTTCCTCCCTGGCCAAAGAGATGGAGCTGGTACCTGGTGTGCCCAGAGCTCTCCTGGGAGCAGCAGTGGTCACTGGAGGCTGGCAGTGCCACCTCTGAGCAGGAATGGAGGGAGGCAGGCAGTGAGCTAGAGACTGTGGTTCTGTAGTGGGGGAGGGAGTGGGTTGAGCTTTCTCCAAACAAAATAACCTGAAATTCCCTCTCTGAAGTCCTGGTTGAATCACCCAGTAATGGAAAAAGTCAACATATCAATGACTCCAGACAGGTGTTTGTGTCATCATTCAGCTCTACTGGCAGACTGTCACACCCTGGGCAGGATGCAGTGCTGAAAGGGCACATTGCTGTGGGCCAGAGCTGGGGATGGCAGGGACAGTCACAAGGAGGACTTGAGCTTTGCCTCAACTTTGTTTGTTCTTTTGTCTTTGCAGCGGCTCCAGAGTGAACTCCCACTAACCCCTGAGCAGCTGGAGACTGTTTTTGACAGCTTGGAACAGAATAATAAAGGATACCTGACACCTGTGGAGTTCAGCATGGGTCTAGGTAAGGACTGCACAGAGGCAGAGGAAGGAAAAAGCCCACCTGTGACGGGATGTTTTTTGTTGGTGAGAAAGAAAGCGCAGTGGTTTTGCTATGCAGGACGATGCTCCATTCTCATGTAAGCATTATTGGAGAGGGTGGGTGTGTATCCCACTTCTGGAGTCCTTGTGCTGCCTTCTCCCACAACTGTTCCCTGTTTACTTGGTAAAGCCAGCCCAGAACATCTCCTGCTGGAGAAGGTACATGCAGCAAACTGTGCCTGGCTATCTGATCACCTGTTCATCTGCACACAAATATGCCTCTTGGCAAACTGTCCCCAGCTGGTAGCAGTGCTGTTCAAGGGCATTAGCAGGAGTCTTGTTGGAAGGCTAGAACACCGGCAAATAAGCCTTTGGTCAAGGATTAGCACTCTCCTATTGTTTGGAAAAGACAGCAGTAAGAAGGCAACAGAGTCCTCACCCAGCAGCACAGGTGCTCATCTGCCTTGTCAGAAAATCTCACCTGTCTCAGAATATCTGCACCTGTGGCAGCACCTTCCTTGGATATGCAGAGGTGTTAAGTGGATCAGGTCAAAGCAAGTGAACACTGGTGGTCCAGGGTTTTCAGAAGTGATGGAACAGGCTCCTGAATTTTGCTGTCCTGTTGTCTCAGATTGTGTTTGCTCCTGGCTTTCTCACAACTTGGGAGGGAGAGCTTTTTAATGCTCTAATTTGAAAGGTCAGAAACAGCCACCGTGAGAGGAGAAGTTGCAAAGATTTTGTCCAAACAAACCCAGCAAACTGTGTCTTGGGTCAGCCTGTACAGGGACTGTTTTATCCCACTGAGCCTGCTGACTACACCTATTCCTGCCCTGTGCCTTTGTCCTTGATGTCTGCTTCCACTTCTTTGGCAGAAACAGGAGTTCTGTTGGGAGTGGGGGCTTTCCAGTCCAGCACTATATGTAGCAGGTGAATGGGCACCATTTGGGCACACTGGCATCCACAGTGCTCTCTGTGTTGTGACTTGGTTACTCCCAAATCTCGTCCTATGAGGCATTTGTCCCATGGGCACGGGCTCAGAGGGGCATCACGAGGGCATCTGCCTCAGTGCCATTGCTGGGAGAGGTAGGCAAGTTTTCTCTTTGTGTCAGGAACTACCACCCTGTGTTGGCAGCCTGGCTCTATGGCACTTGATTCAGTCTAGGCAAAACACTTGATTTCTGCATCTCTTTTCTTTATGGTTATTCTTTGTGTCTGGCATTACCGAAATCCTTTTCAGACTTTGCCCCTAACTCAAGAGTTTGGCCTGGCTGTCTTATGGAGTGTGCAGGAGCAAATCAAGGAAAAGCAGTTCAAGCTGCAATCAAGTCTGCTTCTTGAGAGGGCTCCTTGCTCCTTCTAGGATATCAAAACAATCTTCAGCTCATTCTCTACCTCAATTTTCCCATCTCCATCTCAATTTTCCCATCTGTAAAAGAGAGATAATGAGACATAATGACCCTTTCTCAAAAGCAGACATCAAAAGTGCCTAATCTAGATCATTCTCCTTAATTAACTGTCTGATCATCAGGTTTGAACTAAGTAGGGCCTGGACCTCCACATTGCAAGTATTTTTACAGCACATTTTAAGAGCGGGAGAGAAGCAGCTAAATTCTGGAGGTAAGAAAAAGTAAAATGGAGTCCTTTGAAGTATAATAACGATGGATATTTTTCCTCTTAGTGTAGCTTCATGTTCTCATCTGTGCTCTGTGAACATCCTTGACTCCTGGTCTTGTAGTTGGGATGTCAGTTCTGCCTTTTGAACCAAGCAGATGTATTTTGGAAAGGATGAGTAACTGCTGCTGAAGGCCTGACCTCTGTATACAGATGAGAGGCTGTGTTTTGGATAGGATTGCTCGATTTGTTTCTTTGAGAAGGATTTGTTCCCAGCACCGGTATTTGTCACATGCCTTGCATAGCAGGAGGTTCTCGTGGCGTTAGCGTCTCGGCAGGAAACAGAATCCAGATAACTGGAAGCCATCTGTACGTGGGACGGGGCAGGAGGAGGTGCTTGGAGGGCGAGTTCCTTCTGTTCTATACACAATGCTAGCAAGAGGCAGTCCTTGTTGTGTAGGGCTTGACTGAGAACAGAGGGAGCACAGGAGGAGGGAGGGCTGACGAGCCCCTCCTCTCCGTGTTTTAAGCCGAGGCACTGCAGCATGGAGCCATTGGGGGCCGGGCACACGGTCCGGGACAGAGTGTGCGGGATCAGTGGCGCTGTGCGAGCGCTGTGAGCTCATTGCACGCTTCCCGTGCTGGCAGCACCGGGCCGTGGGTGGCGGCTCGTCTGCACACACGTGAGCGGAGCCCTGGCAGCCTGTGCCGGGCTGGGAGCCAGCTGCGGCCCCAGCGCTGCGGAGCGGACACTGACATCACTCGGGACTCTTCACTCACCAGGAGCTGCATCCTTCAGCAGCAGCATGCACCAGGCTTCTCCTGGAGCTCTGCCAGGCTGCCATGTAAATGGCAGCTTACTCAGTGACATCCAATTTGACTTTATTTATTCTTCTTCTCTTCACCTTCCGCCAGGAAAGTTAATAGGGATTGAGCTGTGTCAAGGGGCTGGGAGAATGGATCACTCCAGACATGAGGAGACCTTTGAATCAGGCTGGTCAGATGACTTGGACCCTGCAGATGATGATGATGAAGAGAAACGATTCTGTTCCATGATGGAGCAGCTTGGAGCAGCCCAGTTGTTTGAAGAGTAAGTAGGGGAGTTGTATGGCATTGCTTCTACCCTGTTTTGATCTTGCAATACCAAAACTTCAAAGTACCAGAAAAAGACCAAAAAGGTGAACCAACCTGCTTGTTCTCTGAAGCACTGCTTGGGCTCTCTGTACTGCTGCCTTGGATTTTCATATGCTTGGTAGCAAATGCAGTGTGGTCTGGGTTTTCTCATCAGGTACCAATTACTTTTAGCTCAGTGCTTTTCAGAATTTCCAAAATTCGAGTTCATAACATAGCTGTAAAATGGAACAGCTGGTGGCATACAAGTCCAGCACAGGCAGCAAATGAAAAGAAGCATGTGAGGGTTAGATGAGGTAAGGAGGATGAGAGCTCTCTGTTCCAAAATGGTGTGTGACTGTTCACATACTTTCAGACCAAAAGTTCTGAGAGTCTCTTAAGGATCTGTGTTCAAGGAGCTGCTCAGGACTGTGCTGACCTTGAAGAGTGTGAAAGGCTAAACTGGACAAAGGGCTGCTCCTTTGAGCCTTGAAACTTGGTATTAATGCCCTTGCCTGTAGCCCCCAGTAGAGTCTACTGGCCCCAGTGTCATCCAGCCTTTTTTTAGGCTTTCCAGCACGAGGCATTATGGATAACTGGTTCTTACTGATGCACACCTGCAAGGCCTGGGGTCCCCAACTGCATCTGTGGCTGTCCTTCTTTTCAGGCTTTGAACTCCAGCTGTGTTGCCATTTTGCAAGGAGCAGTCCAGGTTAGAAAAAGAGGTGGACGGGATTGGAGACAGATGCTGAGAGAGTGCTGGAGTTTGCTGCTTTCAGAAGCACATCTGTCACAAAACAGACTTTCCCCCCCTCATTTTCGTTGTGATGCAAAGCACCTGCGTGTTTTAGTGATAAACAACTTATGTCTGGAAAAAAAAAAAACCTGGAAAGCTGTTATGCTTCAGAATACAGGCCAAAACAGACACTGAGAAAGGCCATATTACGATTCTGGGAAAACAGTCTACTGTTTATAACTCTGCTTTGAGAAGAAGTCCCAGAGTGGAATTGTCTTGTGTTTTATTTTGACCACTTACTGGCAGTTTTATGCAATGAGTTTAGTAGCTACTTCATGTCACATCTTTGTGCCAAAACAGCTGTTGTAAAGCAATAATATCAAACGGAAGCTAATTGGGGTGAGAGCAGGAATCTGAAATATTTTCATTGCTTTCTCTAGAAAGAAATGGTTTCATTTCCTAACAGGACTCAATATGTTCTTTTATTTCAAATATGAAGATTAGATGAAATGCTATAAGTTTTTAAACTTGAGACAGAAAAAGAAGGCTGTCATGCAATACTGGCAGAGGAAATCAAAAGCTTTTTGGTTGGTTTGTTTTGCTTCTGTGTTTCCCCAAAGAATACTAAGGGACACAAATGCATAGGCAAAGAAAAATAGCTGTTTGGATACTGACTATAGCTATAGTTATTCTGTATCTTTCAAGGCAGAAACACTTTTTTCCAAAGTGTTTCATGATAAAAAAAAAAATAAGAGTTCTTCTCTGAAAAGAAACATTAAGTGATATCTGCAGGCTTACAAGACACTTTAGGATTGAAGTTTTTAAGTGCTATGATCAAGTTGCAATGAATTAAATGTCAAAACAGTGTAATCATTATTGCAGGTTTGAAAAAAGACGTCTTTGCTTTTCCAGGGCTTCCTCCATTGTTATCCTGTGACACTTGAGCAAATTTGCGTCTTTTTTTATGCCTCGGTTTCCAAACCTGTAAAAAAATAAGGAGGACTGTAGCAGCCACCAGTACAGTCTGAGTGTAAGAAAATCACCAATGATGTGTGATGCTTGCTGAACTCTGTGCTGTAACAGTTTGACCATAACACACAGCAAATTTGCCGGATATTCATTTCTCCAAGTCTTAATGTAGATACCTAATACGTGATTGATGAATACTTGGAAAAGCAATCATTCCGTGTTTGCTTCCTAGATTATTTTTCTTTTCTTCTTTCAGATGACTTCCTTTATTTTGACCTCACAATAGATCCCGCTCCATTGCATGCTCTGCCACTGTCCAGTTTCCCTTTCTGCTGTAATGGTGTAACAGAGATCATCACAGGAGGATGGCAGCTTATCCTGAGTGCATGTTGGAGTTGGAATAGCAGTCCATAAGATGATGACACAGTTAAACTCTTTTGCTTTCCTTCTCTCTTGTGTGCTTGCTCCAGCCCACGTGAGATTCGGGAACTCTGGGCTCGCCTACGAAAGGAGCGTCCGGAGCTCTTATCCAATTTGGAAGAGTTTCTGTTGCGTGTTTCATCGTATATAAAGGAGGTGAATCATGAGAAGGAGTCTATGGAGCAAGCCTTGAAGAGGTAAGGAGAACATCATGGCCATTTGCTGCCAGGAGCCAGTTGATGCTTGGATCCTGCCTCAGATGCAAGGAGAGACTGGGTTTACAGGATGCACCAGTGAAAAAGATATTTTTGTTGTAATAAAATGACTCTATCTTGGTCTGTTCCCATGGGTTTGCTCTGCAGTGCTCACCCATAACATTCAGTCTGGTTAAAATCCCACTCAGTGCCACATAGCTGTTAGTAGGAATCTATTTCCAGTCTCCTCTTTCCTTTCTGTAGTCTCTTTTTCTCTCTTGACCTCAGTGTACCTGTGTTTTGCAGGAAGGAGTCAGATCATGATCGAGAAGTCAGATGCCTTTATGAAGAAATGGAACAACAGATCAAAGCAGAAAGGGAGAAGCTGGTCTGCCAGGTACCTTCTCTCTCTGTCTTGGCTTGAGAGCAACCTTCCTTTGTTCTGAAATAGAGGTGGTGGCTTGTCTGGCCAAGGAACAGCTCTTACTGTGCTGGGTGTTGTGCACAGCTGCGTGTCTTTACCTCTGCAGGAAGCACTGAGGCATGACAGGAGTAACCTGCTCCAGAAGGAACTGCACAACAAAGAGCAGGAGCTGGAGAAAATCCTCTACCGCCAGAAGAAGGTAATGGCATCCAAATCCTTTCTAACAAAGCACATCCCCCTCTGCTGTCTTTCTGCTCTCAGGCATTTTCTGATGGAAAATGGTGTTCAGATGCTGAGGGTTTGGCACTAGATAACTTGGCTCTAGCTAGTGAAGTCCTCTCCTGTCTCTGAAGGTGTTGAGATGGTTTGTCTTCAGCTGTAATGCCGTTCTGTGAATGTTTTGTTACCTGCTTTGTGTTCTCTTGGCACAATCTTCCCATCAATTTTACAACGCTGGAAAGGAAGATGGGGTAAAAATTTGATGGTTGTGAGTTTGAAGCTTTTTGTGGTGTGTAAGGAAGGCGTGTATGGACGTAACAGAGCCAGATTTCTCTAGTTTTTGTATGCTGGCTACTCCAAAATGACCCAGAGTGAACAGCTCTGTGACACTTAGGTACATATTTTTATACTTGCATTGGGCACTTGATGACATACTGATTAATCAGTCACATAAAAGATCAAAGCACAAGCTTTCCTTTAGCCTGCCATCCCTGGCATGGACATTTGTATGGGATGGTCCATTCCAGATTGCTTTTTCCTTGGTGTCTGAAGAACTGAGATATGACCCCCCCACAGAAACAAGTCATGGCAGGTACCTGCAAGATGCTGGAGACTGGGGGTATTCCCAGATGGTTACCTAGCTGTGATGTGGAAGAAACAGCACTTCTCTGGAATCACCAGCTCATTGTCCAGCAGCTGGAAAAGCCAGCATAACTGTGGTGCTGTCAGGAAGGATATTGAGAATAAGATAGAGGATGTGTTTTTTCTGCTGCCCACATCTTTGATGTGCCTCAGTGTGTACAGTTCAGGTCTCCTCTAATTCCACTGTCTTTCTTGAGTATGAAGGTACAGAGTGCTAATACTAAGAAAATGGAAAATTTGCCTTAGGAAGAGAAACCAGGAAAGTCTAGACTTTTAGGCTTTGGAGAGAAGGAGACTGGGGGAAGCTACATGTGAGCTTTATGAGCTCAGAAAAGTGATGGATAAGGTCCACACAAAACTGTTATTCCCTAAGTCCTGTAACAGCAAAGGTGAGGGACACTTAGTGAGACCAGTATGAATTTTATTTAGAAGAACGCAGAGATTTGTGCTGGACTTCTAGCCCCAAGAGGCAGGCAATATCAGCAATAAAAAATGAATTGGACAAACAAATGGACAACAGGCTTGTAAATATTCATTAAAAGGAATAGTCAGAGATGTGGCCTTTAGCATCTCTAGTCCAGGGATCATAGATGGAAAGGGTATATGAGGGGAATGGACCATAGTTAGGAGCTCAGGCCTGCTTTTCCTAGGTAGCATCTCTTGCTGAGGGTCAGGGCAGAATACTTGGGCTGCATGGGCACTTACTTTTGTTACTCAAATAGTCAGTTCTGGTGCTCCTAACTCTGAGGCTTGTGCTGAGCTGTGTGGATAACCGGGTCCCTCTTGTGGCCTCAGACCAGTACTGTGATGGTGCTGTTCCACAGCACCGCTTCCAAGGACAGACCTCATAAACTGGAGAGTTGTGTGTGATGGAGGTTTCTGAGGGAGGGGCAGGTGTGCTTTATTTAAAGCTGTCTCCTTGGCTTATTGAAAGATCTGAAGGCTGTAACCAGAGGTTGCTGGTTTTCAGTCTAAACTCCACTGCTCAGCACACGTAGTCATGCTGAAATATTCTCCAGTGTCCACAGGACTGCAGGACTCCAGGCAAAGCTGGGTGTGGCTTGCCCTTCCAGCCTCAGTGAGGAGAGAGGTGAGACTTTTGTTTCAAGGAACCTAGGGAAGATCAGATCTATTCATTCCTGCTCTTGACACTTGTGCACTGACAGAGAGGAGGGTAGCAAGAAAAAAAAGCATTTTATATTTTGCCATGGTACGGTGCTTTATTTTTCTTTTGCGAGGGGGAGAAAGTAGGCTGAGAGAAAAGGCAAGCTGAAGGTATAAATGTGGAGGCTGACTGCCACCTGCTACCCTGATCAGACCTGATTCCTGGTGTTTCTCTCTAGTTATAAACACGGATTGCATGCTTTTATTTTGGGCTGTAAGCTCTCAGATGGGTACTGCAGTTTCTGTGTAGCACTAGCTTCAGCAGAGGGCCCTGGTTAGTTGGTGGGACATGCTGGATACTGCAGTGTCGCTATGATCCCTCTTGGAATGTCCTACTTGTCATCTGAGATGGGGGCAGCTTTGGGGCTGCATCTGTCTGTGACTCTTTCCCAGACTATGCCAGCCATTTATAAGGAATTGAGTTGCTGGCTGAGTACATTGCAACAGGCTTTGAATTGCCCAAATCAGGCTTGTTGGTTGTGCTGGGGGCTTGTACTGCCTAGAGAGCAGCTGTGCCCTGGTGGAATTTAAATGGCATGGCTAGCCCAAGGTCCTGTCTCTAGCAGTAGTAAAGACCACCCACTTTGCAGGTGTAGTGTGAGATGCTCCTAGCACCTCAATACATTCTCCTTTCAGCTGCCATGGGCTCAGGAAGCCCCTAAACTAGAGGATGCATTTCAACAACTCTGCTTAATAAGTCCCGACAGACACAACCCTGCTTCCACCCAAATTTTTCCAGTCCTTTGACCCCCATTTGCTCTCTGATTCCTACAATGCCTGACAGCATCAGGCTCATCATGCTGCCTGAAGCACTTCCTCAGCTGTGCCTAATTGCATTGCTTGGTTCTCCAGTGCTGGCATGATGAGAGACAGTTCCTTCCAGTTCACCCTTCTGCCTCATTGCTTACATCTGCTTTTCCAGCTTGTTTTACAGTTGTGATTGTAGTACAAAACCCTTCCTCTGTGTTTAACCCCTCCTCCTCCTCTCCCATTGCAGCTGGAACATCAGCTACAGTCGCTGAACTCGGAGCAGCTGGAGACCCGTGTGCAGAACGAAAGGCTCCGGCACCTGAATGAAAACCTGCTGGAAGAGCTGGAGAAAAGCAAATGGGAGCTAGAGGCAGTGAAGGGGCAATTGCAGAAGCTCCAGAAAGAGGCTCAGCTTGAGCAAGAGCAGAAGGACAGGTGGGAAAAAAACAGGAAAGGAGGGGTGTTAGGGCAAAGACATGGACAGAGAAGGAAAGGTGGGCCAGCAGTTAAAGAATAAGTATCTATAGTTAGGAGCCTTGGTCTCATTAGAAGATTGGCTGTCTCTTTCTGAGGAAAAGAAGAAACATCCTAATGGTCTTATGGGCCTAAACAGAGAGTGATATTGCTACCTCTTGCCTACCTTTTGTGGGAAATTAATATCTTGTAGAAAATCAGTACAAAAATGCAGATGTTCCTCAGCCTAAAGGAGTCTTCTCCATGTACTTTCCAGTTAACCATCCCCTCTATAATGCTTTTTTTAAAGATCCTCTTCTAATCAATTCTGTTCCCATTTCTGGGTTAAATCTAATAATACCTATATAAAACATTGAGAGGTTTCAGATTCAGAAGGCAGTGAACATCCTTCCCATTTCTAGCAGCTGAGGAAGTGGAGAGGATGAGTTGCCTGCTCTCATGTTGGAGGTGAGCAGAAGAGCACTGGTACAACCCAACCATCCCTGAGCCCAGAACAGTGCTGCTTCCTCAGAATTCTCCTAGCATAAGGCAGGCCCTTGTCTTTGAGAATACCATGAGTGCCCCTGAGAGAGAAATGTTTGTATTTTCTCTCCCATTAATTTATTTCCCCTTATTTTAAAATACCTTTTGCCCAGGGATGTGTTTAGAGTCTCCAAGAACATGCAGAAAGAGAAACAAAGCCTCCTTCGGCAGCTGGAGCTCCTCAGGTGAGAACTGATGTAGGCTGGAGGGAAACACTAAGCTCTTGTGCCTGTAAAGGGCTGAGGTTTCAGCACTGTGCTCATTTCTCCCATGGAAAGCTACAGGATTGTATTCAAGCAGTGTTTAGACTCTTCTTGTTTTTCTAGGTCCAGACAGAGTTGTGCCAGCTCTGGCACATTGCAGGCTATGTTATTTCACGGGGTAATCCCTCCTCTGGAGGAATTTAGTCTTTCCTGCTGGCTAAGGCAACCATGTAGAGCCCATGACCTTGGCTGGGATACATGGAAATCCCAACATGTCTGGCTATAAACAACATCTTTATCTCTGTTCCCAAGCTCTTTTTCTGTTCTCACTTTCAAATGTTGGGGTTTACTTAATTTTTGACAAGCATCTCATCGTGTCTTTCCTGTGTCTTCCTTTGGAGCAGAGAAATGAACAAGAAACTTCGAGATGAGCGAGATGCTTTTGAAGCCAAGAAGCTGGTTAGTCTAAGAAAGAAAACCTTAATTCCCAACCGCCCTCCTTTCATCTGCTGCTGTTGCTGTCACCACTCGGGGGCCTGTCACTTCCACGGGGGACAATGACAAGAGCTCTCAGGGCCTGGAGTTGTGCTTGATACAGACTTTGCAGCACCTCTGTGTCCATGCTGGAGGCAAGCTCTGCTGGTTGCTGCTGCCAGCTGCCTGGGTTTAACCCAAGGCACCCTGGCTGGGGACTGTCACACAGCCCTGTGCAGGGCTGCAGTGGGTGCTGCCTGCTGCACATGTGGGTCTGTGTGTTGTGCCAGGCACTGGGCACATGTAAGGAGGGGAGAGAAGATGGATGCATCCTGGAGCTGGGTGGTGAGGAAGAAGATGGATTCTCAGATGTGCTGCTGGCTGACTGGGCGTGGAGTGGCACAGGAAGGTTTTGGAGTTTTTCTGACCCCCTGAGTTTGTAGCAGATGTTTTCAGAGGTTCCTCTTGGGAGCTTCCCATTCCTGAGAACTCTGCTGGGTGCAGCAGTGAGCCTTGTATCAGAGAATTAGGAGAAAGCAGGATCTCTCATCTGGAACTGCCAATCTCTGGCCTTTCCCAGTCGCCAAGATAAGCACAGATATGTGGTCTATTTTTAATTCTTAATATTTTTTCATTTAAAAGTTTTTGTGTTCCCAAATGTCACTTACACGGCTGCTCTGCCCTCTTAGACCCATCTCGGCCATCATGTCTTTGCCTGCTCTGCCATCATGCTCCACCTGAAGATCTGGAAGTAGGTGACGTGCAGAGAGGAAAGGCCGTGAGAGCCTTTCTGGCTGGTGTGTAAAGGACTCTGGAAGTAAAATTAGGGATTGTGCCCATATAGGAGACAAAATGCCCAGCTCAATCCAGAGGTTGGAGTTCTCCAGGTGGAGAGCTCCTGGAGAACTTTATTGGTAGAATAAAATGTCTATAACAATTTTGGATAGAGGTGAAGTATGTGTGTTTCTAAAATCTGGAAGATTTTTTTTCTTCAATCTTCATTTTTAAAGCTGCTAACTACGTGGATATACACTAGAGCTTCCTGCTCCCTCTTGGAAAATCCATAAACACAGTCATTCTGTAGCAGAGTCCAGTGCAAGCAGGCAAAGAAAATGGGCTCTCCTCTTTCCATGTGTTGTGCTTCATAAGCTTGTGGGTTCCTATGGGTGGGCAGGTGGCCTGTGGAGACCACAGCTCAGGTATGTACCTCTGTGTGTGCAAAGCTTGTCTGCTTCTCCTCTATTCTTTTCTCCTGCTCCCTTGCTAAGAGCTGCTGCTGCAGGTGGACCCAAGAGAGAGCCCAGCAGAGAGAGTCACAGCACAGAGGGGCTGCTTTCTCCCTTCTTCCAGCACTGGCAGTAGGGAATGAGGCACAGGGTGAACTCCTCCCACCACCTTGCTCATGTGGCAAGGCTGTGTCTTGCTGGGCAGTTGAATCCTGTACTAGAGTAAGGTTTTTTTCCTTTGGCTGCTCTCATTTCAGTCCACAGGGAACCAGGGCTCCAAGGGCTTAGAGGGATGCTGCTATCATCATATGCATACCTGCAGAAGGTCTGCTCTCCAGCCTGTCTGTCTCACAGTAAGGGGGAGAGAAAATGGCACTACTTCCCTGCAGAAGCAAAAAGGAGAGTCCAGCCTACTGATGGGGATCCCTAGAGTGCAACACACTCTCTGCCAGAGACTATCAGTGCTTTTACAGGCTAAAAAGAAACCCAAGGCCTTAATACCCTCTCTTAGTGCTGGGAAGAGTTATTTCCATGAAATGAAGGTGTGGTGAACAGATGTTCTTTCATAGCAAAGATTTTGAAGTGGTTGGAAGGAGGAGTTGGGCTGTATGTGGCTGATAGCAACCCAGTCACTGCTCCTTTGCTCTTCTCAGTTCCCAGCTAATACCTTGCTCTTCATAAGAGTTTTTGGCCTTGCCACGGTGGGCAGACCCTGGCCCCACTGCACTGTGGGGCACTCTCTTGTCCCAGGCAAGAGAGGCTGGGTCACAGATAGCAATATGTGGCTATTTCTGTCTGTGTGCAAACCACTAATGGGTATTTTTAAGACCCAGGGGTTGCAGGTTCAGTTTCACACCCATGACCCATCTGGCTAAGGAGTTATGCTTGCATGCTTTATGTTGACAGAGCAAATTTCATGTCTGTTCATCGTGAAGAGTGTTTTGGTCCTTTGACTACATTTGACATGTATTTTCATTTCACTGGTAAACCAGAATCTTTCCCATTCAAAATGCTTGTACATGTGCTGTTGTGGAATCCTTGTCATCATGTTTTACACAGCTGTGATGTCACATCTGTCCCATTATCATCCTGGTGAAAAGCCAAATGTTACACAAAGCTGGCAGGCCAATAAAGCATGGCAGAACCAATGGCAAAACATGCCCCATTGTTCCTCCTTTCTTACCCAAGTACGTGCTCTGCAGGCTGTTCCCTCTCCAGATAAGGTGGTGGCAGAGCAGATTGTGTGGGAGTCCTTTTGCTCCACATGTGACTTGAAGGTTGTGACTCAGCTCCAGTGGCCTGTAACACAATTTCCTTCTTTCTTTTTGGCTAGAGGGTGCCCTTGAGTGAAGCTGCTCAAACACTGAGAACTTCCCCTTCTGTCCCTGCTGGAGAACCACGGTTGTCTTTACCACAGCCTGACTGTGTTGACTGGAGTGTTGTTATGCACTTGAGGGTCATTTGCCTTGGAAGATTTGTGCTCCACAATTGTGAGCCTCTTGGTGGTGGATTGTTTCTGTAGCTGGAGGTTCTCTTGAACATCAGTTTTACATGTGAAAAATGTTTTGGTTTTTTTACCCACAAAGTTCCCAGTTGGGTCAGGCCCTCTGTGGAGTCCAGAGTGTCTCCTTTTGTCCGACTGCATTGCATTAAAGGTGTTCTGGGAGTTCTGACCAACAGAACAGCTTCTTAATTTTTTCGCCTTTTAAATAAGTCTTCAGTAAGAGTTATTGAAGAAATCATTTTTGTAGTCCTCCAGGCTGTGAAAAGCATGAAGGAAGGCCTGTCCAGAGCTGCCTGCAGGTGTTTGGTCAGTCCAAAACTGCTGTGAGAAGCAGATCTGGCAGACTGCAAACCCTTCTTCCTCCACCTTTCCCCCAGGAGTAGCTTGTAAGAATGTGTTGGAAATCCTCAGATTCACAGACTGAATACATCTCCCAGTGTTCATGGGCTATTCCCCCAGTGCTGATGTGATGGGCACCTTTCCATGCTGTCTCTCACTTCACTTGTGTGTGTGGCCAGAGCAGTGACTCTGCTGGAAATGGCAAAGCTGCTGTATGGGGGGAAGAGGATTGGGAGGAGATGTTGTCCTGCTTTCTCCTCCTCTGAGGAACTGGTAAATAGTGGCTGTAGGAAGTGTTCAGTCTCTGTGGTAAGCAGGAGGAAAGCATGGAGAGGATGTTGGCGTAAGGCAGAGCATGTGCATTGCCCTTTCCTGAGATTCCTCCTTCCTTTCATGTGGCTCATGGGCGGCTCTAGGTGAGTACAGGTTGAGGAAGGGTACTAGTTTCTTCTGTGGAAAGGGGCAATTGGTCTGTCCCACAAAACATCAATGCAAGAAAGAAGCAGGTGGGGAAAGAGAGGTTCAGCTGTGAGAACAAGCCACAGAAATAAAAACTCTGGCTGGCTAGGGGAAGAATTCAGTTTGGGACATCAGCACTTTGATGGATTTTAAAGCGAAGGAGAAAGCAGCAACAGTGATGGCTTCTTGTAGGAATTAAATTATTTGAACAGAGAAAAGCAAGCTCTGTGCTCACCTCTTTGAGCCTACCGGTGAGGCACTACCACTGCACGGTGTGGGGCTGCCATGGCTCCAGCCTTGCCTCCCCAGAGTGCTCTACAGAGGTGGGGAGAGGTTGAACTGGGGCTGTCGTCACATTCTTCATTCCTTCTCTTTTCAACTTCCAGGTGCCTCAGAACAAAAAGCCCCTGTTGAAGAAAGGGTCAGTGCTAGGCAGTTGCCTGCTGGAGGACAAGCCTGTCAAACGGTTAGATGGGTGTCTGTGTCATGTCCATGGTGTCAGTCCGTGCCCACTGCATACCCTGTCAGTCAAGCTGTGTCCTGTGTCCTCCCACCTTGTGCTGGCTGGTTTTGGGAACGTGGTGGGGTGCAGCTTTTTTGTGGCTCTAGCTGTCTCTTGGCATCAGGTGGCGTTGGCTCAGCGTGAAGCTGAGGATATTGTTCATTAATTTCCACAGGGAGGTGGCCCTGCAGCTGCTTCTGCCTGCAGCAATGGGGGGGAAATCTAAATATCACCAGAAGGTCTGGGACTGTTAATGGGATGGGAGTCACAAAGGCTGCCTCTTTCTGAGTCAGACAGCTCTGTTGAAAGGGCTGGATCAACTCCCAAGCCTGACAGTTTGTCCTCAGGCACAAATCCTGTCCACTGCCTCATGCCAGAGTCCATATCCACAGGGCATGGGAGAGGGCAGAAATTGCACAAGGGTTGGGTTCTTTCTGGCAGCTGAAAGCCTCGAGGAGAGGGCCTAGCTCCAGGTGGGTTCATCCTGCTCATCCCCCTCTACAGCTATGCAGATGCTCACCTGGCACACCAGGCCTCCCTTCAGGCAGGGCAGGCAGCACATCTGTGTGGCCAAGGTATTTTCTCTTTTTTCCCACTCCACATGCAGAATATATAGTGACCTGGCTTGAAGCTGGATGTCACCTGTGACTGCTGGCCCCAAACAAGTTCTAAAGGCAGTGTACTCCTCTGTTTCTTACCAGGTCTCTGCAAAGTCCCATCATTCCCCAGTTTCTCCTGGTGCCAGCTAGAGACATAGGGCTAGGCTCAGTTTCTTCCAGCTTCAACTCACCCTTAATGCTTGCAATTCTGGATTTAAATGCAATTCTTGCATTTAAGGATTTAGCTCAAGGCTCCTTGGCTCATGGACTTAGGGTAGACTGTGGAGGAGGGCTGATTCTTGAGCCCAGGTTGCCTGGCGAGGTCTGAGGCAGAGCTCTTTCATGGTTGTGTGACTGGCACATCCTATCCATTGAATCAGATAAGCAAGTTCTCCCATCTCCTTCCCCAATTATTTCTTGCAAAGATGCTTCTAGCTGCTACTGGAATAACCCTCCTGGAAAGGCTTAATAGCTGGAGAAGTTTGGCAATGAAGGTGATGAGAGAAGGGGAGTAACTGTTGGCCCTGTCTCTGTCCCACTGCTGTGTCACATCACTTTGCTTGAGAAACATGAAAAGAAATCCATCAGATCTGGGGTCACTGTTCAGAGTTTTGTGTTTGTCCCTTTGCCCCCACTAAAGAGGGTCTTGAGACCCCTCATTGTGTGATTTGGCCAGCCCTGGGAGATGGGCACCATTCCCCAGAGCCTGAGACTGTGAGAGTATGTGTCTATTTTCAAGAGAGAGAAGCTCCAGCTGGCCTGGCTCTGGACTGGAATTTGGGGCAAATGCAGGGAGGACAACCAGGAATGTGGGCTCCCTTTCATAGAAAAAAGTATAGACATGAAAGCAGGTGAATTTTGCAATCCAGATGAAGTGCACTTTCTAGAGTGAGAAAGAATTGTTTGGATTCTTCCACTAATAGAAAGGAAAACGTTGCAGAGCAGGGTGGGATGTCCTGCCCCTGAGAAGACTGACTGTACTGTGCTCTGGTTGCTCTAATTTGCTTCCAAATGCAGTCTGCCGACCAGTGAAAGCAACAGAGGCATCTGTGGTGGATAAATATCTTCAGCTTAATTCTAGGTCTTCTCACTCCTTCTCTAGTTCTTTAACCATAGAAAACCAGTGATGCTGCCTTGTTCCTCAGCAGTGATTGCAGTAGTTCAAATTGGTTATTTTAGTTGTTCTTTTGAAAGTTGTTCCTCCAATTACCATATCAGCTCTGCCCCCAGTGCATCAGGCTGCTCTTGTGTGGGCAGTCTTTCTTTTTGTATAATATTTAGTAACAAAAATACAGGGGCAATTATTGCTTCTTTTTTTATTATTATTATTTTTAAGAAAACGGGCTCTCGTTCTGTATGTTTTGCCTCATTTTTTCACTACTGGGGGAAGTGGTAGGCAAAGAATTCTTGACAAACCAATGTGGCACTTTTTATTAAAATTAATGAAATATTTGTCAGCACATATGAGTACAGCACAGCTCTGGTGAACTCTCTCTTTCCCTAGGGGAGCCTTAGTCAGAGGGAGTGAATGTATAGAGTTCCTGTGAGAGCTTCATATACACTAACTGGATTGCATTGGCTGGTTGGGAATTTGCATTGGTTGGTTGGAATTTCCTTTCCCTATCTCCTCACCCCCTCCCACCCTATGTGTGCTGCCTGTGGACTTTAATACAGACAACTGGCCTCTGCGGACCTTCCCTTCACCTTCCCCGTGGATGTGGCAGTGGAAGAACCCAACAGAAAGAACTGTAAATACTTCCCAGGCAACGGGGTATGGATGAAGACAGGAGAAGGAGGCAACACAAACTTTGGAGAGAACAGCAGAGATGAGGAGAGATGGCCTTTGGCAGCAGATCCTGAGTGGTTTAAGATGGCTTTGAAGGGTAACTCTGACTGCAGAAAAAATGCAGATGGCTTAGATGCTGCTCTGCTGCCTCCTCGAGCCCAGCCTGTTGGCACTGAAAGCAAGGTGAGTGCAGTTCCCTGGGGCTATTCCTCTAACACCTGCTGGGGACTTGAGGGTGTCTGACTCTCTTCCCATCAAACTCCAGCTCCGCAGATCTACAGTGCAGGGGTCCAAGCCCTAAATCAAAGTACTGCCTGCAGCTGGGCTCTTCAAAACCTCATGCCTTTTTTCCATTGTAGCTCCAAGCACTGGAACCAGTGAGCTGTTCCCCAGATCGCATCTTTAAAGTGGTTTTTGTAGGGAATTCTGGTGTTGGGAAGAGTTCCTTCATCCACCGCTTCTGCTATGACAGGTTCTTGGCTGAGCTCAATGCAACCATTGGTAAGTAATAGGGTGCCTGGCTCACCTGGATAAGGAAGGTGGGAAAGGCAGCCTGGGCAAATGCTTTTTTGCTTGTATTGTAGCCCAGCTAGAGGTAAAGATGGTACCTCTCCCAGTATTAAATCAATCTTGCAATTTCCCTGAATTAAATGGAGTTGGTCTGGCCATTGTAATGGCGAGCTGCTCTCCCCATCCTACCTCACAATCAATGTCACCTTCCTGACAGGTATCGATTATCAGGTGAAGAGTCTAATGGTGGATAACACCCAGGTTGCCTTGCAGCTGTGGGATACAGCTGGACAAGAGAGGTAAGCCATTTCTGCCAGGCTCAGTGGAGGAAAGGGAAAGAGTGCATGCAGCTGGTTTCTGTCCCTGGGAAAACTATCAGCTTCAGAAGGACCAGACAGGTCATGACAGCTATTGCAGGGCTGAATCTGCAGCAAAGGTCTGCTCCAGAGAGTACTAGAAGCTCTGACTGTGAAGCAGGGCGTGGGGAGATTGCTCCAAGGGTGGACAGAAAAGTAGTTTTCCATGTGTCTGACCTTGTGGCTTGTGCTTGTGGCTCCAAGCAGTCTGTCCATAGATGTATGTCATGGGGTTCAAAGGGTGGAAAGGACTCTGAACCTTTCCAGATCTGATTCTGCTGTCAAAGCCATCTGAATTAGCATGACCTGTGGGGAAGGTGATTTGAACTACCCTGCTAGACTGTGAGGTTATTGGCCTCTTTCACTGTCCCTTCTGCTGATAGATTTGTGGAAGTGATAATCCTTGGTAGAGGGATTGTGCAGCTTTTTGTGACACTGAACACTGGTTCCCCATCAAAAGCATGGGATAGATGTTACCAGCAGTGTTGGTGAGGATCAGAGCAGTAGAGGACATGTTTGACCTTCATCTGCTACTAGAGATGAAGGCCCATCACTGCCTCCATGTAAATTACATTTTACGTAGGATAGAATTCGAAGCTTAAGATGAAAAGCTATTTCAAGAGGGCCATGAACCTCAAGGGCCTGACAAAAATAAGCACTGGGTATTTTGAGCTAAATATGTTATGGAGGCAGGCCTTCAGAGGGCAGCCAAGGTCATGGGAATATTCTAATCCTAAACCGTGCCAATGGTGCTGTCTGTCTCTAGACCATGCAGAGCTACTGGGAATGTACTAAGTAGGAGTATCTACTGAAAAGCAAATCTCTCTTCCAAAATTAGGCTTCATGCTGAAGAAATAATTATTTCTGAGGGGACTCCTGAGGTTATTTTGATGCTGAAACTGAGCAGTAAAGGAAGTTGCTGTGACATAAAATGTGACATTTTATTGAGGCCAGATTGCAGCAGAGGCCAAATTCAAGATATTGTCTCTGCAGAAGGACCTTTAGCACAGACCCCTGCAGCACTAGGTCCTAGATGTGTACCCACAAGAGAGAGCTTGGCTCAGTGCTGATACCAATTAGGAGACCTGGGAAGAAGCAAAAGCCTTTTCTTCTTCTGGAGGAATATTAATTGCTTCTGACTAGAGGTGTCCAACTGTGACTATCTAAGGAAGAGATGGAAGAGCCCCTTGGAGCATGCAAGGAGAACTCCTTGGTGACTTCCCTGAGACTGATGCATGCTACCTTTGATATTTCTTCTGGAGCATCTTGCCGGGCTGGCAAGTTCCAGAGGTGCACCTAGACTGCCAAAGATACAGTCTGTGCTTTCTCAGTTGGGTAGGTGCCAGAATATTGTGTCCTTATTATAGTGAGAAAGAACAGCTTCAGGCAACTCTCTGAAGAGGACAGGAGGGTAACAGCTGTAGGTTTTCTTGGCTTGCAAGAGGAGAGTTTGTTATCCTGTGCAGGAAATACACAGCTCTCTAGTGAGATCTCAGGACTTTTGCTACATTTGTTAATTCCCAAATTACATTGTTAATTACATCAGTTTGCAATTAGTGTGGTTATATCATGGCTGTGTCACAAAGTGCTTACAGATTCTAAGGTTTGGATTTGTTGTTTTGGTTGTTTGGTTGGCTTTGGTTGGAATTTATTCACAAAATACAAACCCGTGGTTTTAAATGGTACAGACGGGAAAAAGTAGATGTCTGGCAGGAGCTTTTCTTGGAAATAGTGTCTAACTCCTGATTTTTTTTATGCATAATGGCATTGATTTATAGATTCAATAGTGGAAACAGACTGTACTGATGCTGAGTCTGTTTTGGCAGCTCTGGGGCAGACATTATGCATGCCTAGTTTGTACTGTGGTACATCTGCAGATTCTTCCAGACTATAGAGAAAGATCGTGTTTTCTCCATCCGTTTCCCTTTTAATAGGAAATTACCTTTTCTTATCTCACCCAAATAGATTCTTCTGATTCTTTAAAGGTCTTCTTTCTTGCTCTCTCGGCACCATGCATTTGGCAAGATTCCTGCTTACCCACAGCTGCCTGGCCTGTTTCAGAGGTGCAGGGATCTGTGTGGGGACACACATCACATGGCAGGCCTTGCAGAGAGCCTGCACTGACACACAGACAATCCCCCTGTGTCACTCCCCACTGCACAGGGAGGTTCTGAGGGTGCTTTGCCTTGTGTCTGGGCTCAGGTTCCGGAGCATCACCAAGCAGTATTTCCGCAAGGCAGACGGGATCCTGGTGATGTACGACATCACGGCCGAGTGCTCCTTCCTGGCGGTGCAGAACTGGATGAGCAGCGTCCAGGTGAGGGCAGGACCTTGCTCCACATCAGCTCCCAACAGTCTGTCTGGAAGGGACATTTTTCAGTGCCCCACGAAGTCCTGTGGACCTAGTGAGCTGAATTATCAAAGCAGGAGCCTGTGGTGGTCGGTTTGGAAGCTTTGTGCTGAAGGTAACGAAGCCAGTGGTAGCCCATTAAATCAAGGAGGGCCGTTTCTGGGGCAGAACGTGGTGGGACATGCCAAAACAGTAGTGTGGGTTTGTAAGCAGCCCATGTGCACTGTGTGCATCTCCTAAACGTGGTCACATCCCACCTGTGCTCAGGCAGGGACATCTCCTGGTGTCTGGTCTATGCACAGGAAAGGAAGGTGGTCCTTTTTATTTCCTTTTTTTATTTAATTTGGTACCAATATATTAATGCAGTTGCATTTCCCCCTGTCTTTTATTCCAAACACTCACTAAAAGCATTTATCTGTGGCTTACATCTTCTTGGGGATACAAAAATACCTCTCTTTATAATTCAAATTAGTTGTGTGTAGATGATCAAGAGGTGAAGGGAAATTTTCAAGGGCAGTTTTGTTTTGATTGTGCTGAGTAAACCAAGATCTCAGTGGAATGAATAGGTTGGAGGATTCTAATATTGTTAATTTCCACAAGCCTGTTGGGGTAAAAACAAACAAACAACCACTTATGTCTTAAAAGATCAAAGATCAAGGTCTTCAAAACTAACGAGCCTCTGAAAATCAGGTTCCTTTCAGGAGGAAGGTTAAATTGAGCACATAGAAAATCAAACCACATTAAATCTGTATATTTTAATCTCGCTCTTCTTTTCCTCTCCCCATCTGTGTAATTTGTTTTGAAGCTGTTCAGGTTCTGTATGGCACTTGAGTGTGGAAATAACTTTGAGCCCTGTTCTTACTCTGACCATGTTCTAGTGAGCCACTGGAACTATAGAGAGTTGGACCAGAGGTAAGGGACTCCAGGAATCATCTAGGAATAACAGTTCCTACAGAGACAGCTTACAAGGGGTGAAGGTTGTTTAACTTGCTTGGCCAGTGAATTTTCAGCAAGGGATCACTGAGTTTAGGACAGCACATTACACACAGTACTGCACATTCAAATTACTGAGCTTATTTAAGAAGGTCTGCCAGATCACAAATTCCAAAATGCCTATGAGGCAAGCTGCTTTTCTTTAGGCTTCTTATTTCCCTGAGAGGTACTTATGTCCTGTCTCCCCTCTCTCACCATCCCAACTCAACACACCAAACATTTGGAATGTTCCCCTAGTTCAAGCTTCATTTCACAAATCCCTGGGACGATAGAAGGAATGGCCCTTTATTTATCTAATGGGCCTGGTCCTGCTGCCACTGAAGGTTTTGTTTGCTTGAGCTGGAAGGATCTGCTCTGAGTGGCTGGGTCTCTAGGGGTCTTTATTTCTTTTGCAGGAAGGTATAGAGGATGGAGCTGTGGTCTTTCTGCTTGGAAATAAATTGGATGCTGTGCAGAGAGAGACCCGGAATGTGCCCAGGATGGAGGGGGAAAGGCTTGCCAAGGTGTGACTCAGTGCTCTGCTGCTTGACCTACTCTGCAGCCACCCTCCAGCTGTGGCCAGGGCAGTCTGGCTGGTGGAAAGCCCTTCTTGGAGCCATTTCCCAGTATGGTACCTTCCCAGTCCTTCCCACCCCCTGTTTCTCCAATGTGGACATGTACCCACGTCCCTCTGGTACAAGGGAGGATGAGGTGGTGGCTTGTATGTAGCAGACAATGGCTCTTGAGAAGGCTCATGTATTTCTCTTGGGGCTTGATGCCTCATTTTACAGTCCTTCGGAGGGGAACATGCATGGCTGATTTCCTATTTGAGGGTTCCATAATGCCAACATCATTCTGCCCCATTCCTCACTCCTTTGTCTGCCTGCCTGCTGGCACCTTGGCCCCTGGGTGGAGGGAACAGGGTTTCAAAGGTGTTTGCTGCCTTCTGGACTCACAACAAAAAGGTAAAGGAATCAAAGTACCCTGGAGAGATGTTTTCTCATCCCAAACAACTCCCCCAGTGCTCCCTTTTGGACACTCTGGCTTGGCCCCCAGTGCTGAAAAAGCATCTCCTTCTCCTGGGTTGGTGAGCAGGGTGTGCACCCCAGCAGGGTAGCAGCCACCTTCCTGGCTCCAGTGGCTCTTGGCAGGGTTCCTGGGGATGAGGGTGGGCCAGCTGCCCAGGCTGTGGGTGAATGGTGATGGTGGAGAGCTGGCAGTCACTGTGTGTGCTGGCTGTGCTCTCTGGCAGGAGTACAAGGCTGTGTTCTACGAGTGCAGCGCCATGACTGGATACAACGTCATGGAGCCCATGCTGCACATGGCCAGGTCAGTGAACAGCAGCAGGCACCCTGGGACACTTCCCCAGCTGGAGGTAACTGGTGTGGGCTCTCCTGGGGAATGGGCAAGAAGAGGGGGGTGTCAGAGACTGACTTCGTGTCACATCCCAAAAGAGACTGACTCCACGTCCTTGTCTTTTGTGCCTGGAGAGCACCAAGTGTAGACTGGGCTCTTTGCACACAAAGCTTCACCTGGTAGAACTTGCTGTTGCAAGATCAGGAGTTTAATTTGAATATTTCATCACAAAAACCTTGCATGCTGTCCCAGATTTTAAGGTGATGTTTTCAGTTTGAAGTCTTCATGCAGCTCTAAGGGTTCTTTATAGCTATCTTAATAAGCACTGTACAGACTGAGCTATTTCAGTGGCAATAGTTTTAAAAGGAGATAAGGTACTATTCAGCTGAAAGAAATTTGCTCTAAAATTTTTAGTTAAAAAAACCCAAACAGATAGTTTTTGGAAAAAAAAGTATTTCAAGTCTCACAAGAAAACTATCCTTTTGTTTTCTTTTATCTCGTCACCTCCTCCTGCATCATCTCTGCTGAACAGCAGGACGTAGCTGTTCATTAACTAGGAGGATTTACCAGCCAGGTGAATCACATCTCCCATAGCACGTGCCTTCAGCATGCTTTATTACCATGATTATTACAAGTTGGCCCAGACAGGTGGAGCAAACAACCCAGGATTCTGACATCAGTGGGGGATCTTGGGAATAAGGCACAGGCCACTCACACTGATGCTCAGATTACTAAACCATGATACTCCCCCTCTTGTATATGTCCAGTTTCTTTCCCTGTTCCCTGAAAAGTCATGCTCATTCTCTGTACGTGGTTTATCTAGCCCAACTTCCAGAGAAGTCCAGTCTTTGGCCTGTCACTTCTTGCAATCCTAAATGTAAATCCTAAATGGCTGGTGGAGAGCAAAGGGCAGAGACAAATGCCTTGGCAGGAAGAGCTCAGTAACCAGGCTGTGTTCTTGATCTGTGCTGCTCTTTCCAGGTTGCTGACAGCACAAGAAGACAGGCAGAGGGAGAATGCCCTGCAGCTGGAGGATATCAGCAGGAGGAAAGGGTGCTGCACATAAAGCACACCAATGTGTCAGCAAGAGTCATGTGCCAATGCTGTATCATGAAGCTGGGGGTTCCTTTCAAGCAAGCTGAATTTGATGGTGTCAGCTCTCTAGAGACTTGGGGAAGGTGCAGCTTTTCCAGTCTGTGAATTTGAGGTATAAATCAGGCCAAAATGTGCATATTATCTGCACTGTTCTACTTCCCAAGTCTGCATGCAGCCCTGGTCTCTTGAGGCCTCTGCTTCTTTAGGGGAATTTGGCTGGTCTTAGCTAGTAGCACAGACTGGGCCCTCTGTCTGGAGATACTGGTTCCCTGTAAAGGGACAAAGTCTTGATCCTGTTCTTTCTGGCAAAGTGGCCTAGCAGCAGAGAGCAGAGGACACAGTGGGTCTGTATTAAATAGAATTTCAGTGTAAGAGAGAAAAAAACCATTTTAATTTTGGACTAGCTCTAAGTAGTGATCCGTCTGTCTCAGAGAGAAGCATGTCCTCTTGGTTCTGCAGCAGCAGTGCTCAACTGAGAGCCTGCTGTGGTGAGTGAGAATGCTTCCACCACTTCCTGCAAGATCTGAATTTAGTGCAGGATTTGGTTGGACTTGTCAATATTGTAGCTAACAGGTTCCATATGTGATTATAGTATGAGCGGATAGGACAAGTCATCCCAATGGCTTTCATTGCTTTGTCACCCTTCTGGACCTTTCCACTGTCCTGGTGTATGTTTACAGAACACAGAACAGTTGCCCTGGGACCCACAGGCGCTGGCATGTGCTGCTGATTCATAGCCCGTTGCAGGAGCTGTGCTGGACAAACCAGGGGAGCCATATATAGCCTGTTTTAAGGCTGAATGCTGCCTGTTTCCTCCCATTCTCTTATCCTTTCCTGAAGAATCTCCAGGAACTCGGAACTGCCTTACCTGCTCTCATGATAGATCCCACCAGAGTGCTTTCAAATGCCTGTGGGCTGGAAGTGCAAGGCAGCTGTTGTGTGAAATGTACCTTTTTCTCGTGCAGAGACCTTGAGCAACAGCCTCACTTTACTGGTGAAGGGCCAGAGAAAGAGCTGAACTCAACCTGTTCCCATCGGGAAGGGGCCTTCTTGTCTCTGAGGGGTGGGGTAAAGCCAGGCAAAGAGGAGCACAGGCAGAGGTGGGAGCTGTCCCTAAAAGTGCTCCTGTCGGCAAAGCTGCCACAGTGCCTGGGCGTGGAGCTTCTGGATTGTGATGCTTTCTGGTTTGCAGCTCAGTGGCTCTCAAAGCCTTGGGATTAAGTAAGATTTTTGTTAGTGCCCTTTCCCCTTCTGTCTTTGAGGCTGTTTCTGTATGTGACTCTGACATTTTAGGCAAAAGATGTGATACTGCAGCTGTGATGCAGCCCCCAAACCTTGCAGCATAGGGAGGGTCTGTACTTGTCCCTGGTCTTTCCTCTCTTGGGATGAGGCGGTTACTCTGAATGTCTATTTATTGCACAAATTTCGCTGGGAAAATCCCAGGCAGGAAAAGTGCTCTGAGTCACCTACAGACCATCAAAATGACGAAGAATTTCCATGGTTCCTCCTGGTGCCCTTTCCTAACAAAAGTAAAGAGGAAGTTTTTCTCTGGAAGAACATGATTTCTGAGTAAAAGGAAGAGCTAATAGTAGTAAGATCCTGCTCAGTTGGCTGACTGTGGCTCACACCATTTAACTGCACTAACGCCTTCCAGAGACTGGGAATCAGAAAGACACAAGAGGCCTTGAAGGAACCAGGGTAGCTGGTGTGGAGCCTGGAGTAAGACCTGCAGTGCTGCCAGGGGAACTGCCCGTGTTTCCAAGAAGCAATCCTTGGGAAGGGAAATCCGTGCTAAGGTGTTCTGAACGCGAACCTCCCACGCTCTGTACACAGCACACCCAAGACAAAGGTGTGAAATACGGCTGACACACAAATATGGGCTAGTCCTGTGTATTACCTTTATCAGTGCTGTCATACTGCAATAGCAAGAGCCATCGGGTTCTTCTAATGTACAACCTTAAGTATGTTTAATTAGTGTGCAAACGGTACAGGCAATAAAGAAACGCTGTCTTACAAGTGGTTGTGGTGAGAGACTTTTTTCAGGTGCTGCAGGAGGTTCAGGCTCCCATCTTTAATCACTGATGATCCTAGTGTGACCTTCCCTTCTCTCTGCTCAGAAAATGGCCTGTCCCCTGTGGTGGTACACAGGCGGTCTTACAAGCAGGGAGAGAGTTAACCAGGAACTCACGTCTTGGACAATTTCTCTCTTGTCTCAGGAGAAATTCATGTCCAGTCTTTTTTTACCTTCTTTAAGCAGTTGGAGTCCAGCTGATTAGGGAAGGCAGAGCAGGAGGAGAAAAAGGGGAGACACTTCTTCAATGTCTGAGGGTTCAGTGCTGTCAGAGAGGACAGGTTCTCACCTTGTTACCTGTATTCATAGAACTAAACATTTATTTTATTAATGTCCCATGCATCCTTTTCCCTAGAGTTAGCAATTTGGCTGCTTTTAATCCTTGTGCCCTGCCATGGCTCCAGCTGGATGTTCATGCATTACAGGACTAATCACTCTGCAGCTTTGCCCAAACAAATTGTTACTCATTTCCCCCGCTATAAACTGATAGCACACGTTGTTAATTGTAACATATATTTTTTGTAAGCAGGAAAGGGTGGATTTTTGTTTAAAGGATGACAAAATGGCACAGAATTTGAGTAGGCTGAGCTTGGAAAACAGTAAGCAGCAGGGTGGGGTTCATTACTGGAAGGTCTTTCATTATCTCTCAGCACAATAATTAAATGTCCTATTGGAAGATACAATCTCAAGGGGCATGTTGGTAGTTTTTAAGCCTGTCTGATATCAGACCTAACTGAGACCAGAATTTTCCAAAAAGTTCTTCATTTTACTACATCCCCCTTTTTTGTCAGAATTTCTCCTGCCTCTAAATGGAAGCTCTGGGAACAGCCACCCTTTTTAAGTGACTGCTGGAAACTGCAGCATAAATGCAAATAATGGGATATCCTGAGGGGGGCATGAGATAAGGGAGGATGCAAAATAAGACTGCCTGGGGGCTTATGCATTCACTATATTGGCTCCAGCCTCTTAGTGAACAAATGACTTTTTGCACATAATCTGTAAGGTATTTTGGAATCGCATCACAAGAAAGTACTCTTCTTACAGCCTGGGAAGCCTTATCCTGGCACATGCAACAGTGCACCTGTGTACACAGTCAGGTGTAGGGGCAAAAGCAAAAAAGCCAGCTGCTCTGATAAGGAGCCGTGCTCCTGCAAATCTCTGCAGGCCGGCAAAGGGACCTCGCTCTGCTTTGCTTTCACTTGTCTGTTTCATGTCAATGTGCTAAGGGTAAGCATAAGAGGATTAGGCTGACAGCATCTCTTTGAAAAGCCAAAACAGGGCTGAAAAGAGAGCATTAAGCCACGATGTTAATTTTAAAGCTTTTCCACAGGACAAATGCAGGAATTGCAAAGGTTTGAGATGTTTTCTACTGCCTTCTTTATTCCAGCAGCCTGAACTCAAGGGACCATTTCCATTTACACACAGTTAATGAGTTCCTGCTATGGGGATCATGCAGTCACGCATTATTTTCTGTCCAGTCATCCTCTTCTCTTCATGATCTTTTTACTTGTTGATTGCTTAGACTATAAATATATATATTGACCAAGTACTTCATCTCCAGTTTATAAATGTATCTCAGAGACCATTATACACCTTCAAATGCTCTGTTTGGCAATCTCCTGTTCAGTGCCAATAGACCCACAGCCCTGCAGTTCAGAGTTTTGTTAGCAGGCTCTCTCAGCTCGTTACTTACCTGGCTGCTGATGGCTCACATGGAAATTTCAGTTGGCATGGCTACAATAACCCAGCTCCAGCCTCTCCAACCTGCAGGGCATGTTTTGTATACGTATATATGATGCTGCAAGCACAAGTGTAGCTGTGTGCTACTTCTGAAAATACTAGTCCACAGGAAACCTGAGCAGGTAAAAATAGTCTCCTCCAAGTAAACAAGTATCTGCAGTAAAACAAAATCTATTACTCCAGCTGAGGATGGGGAGCTGGGGCTCCTGTGGGGTATCTTATCTTTACCTGCAGGCTCTCCCAAGGAAGTATTTGTCCCCGGTCATGCCCATTTGCTGACCTAAATCCGCTGGGGCAGGGAGGTTATATAGGTTCCCGTTTGGGCATGAAATGCCTGGACACGGCAAGAAGGCAGTGGCCCAATGTGGTGGCTACCAGGACCTGGGCAGGGGCCGGTGTCTCCTGTGGCTTCCAGGTTCTGCCACATCTTCCCTACAACAAATCTGCCAGTGTGCAAACGAGCTGATCCCCCAAGGCTCCATTTGATCACTTGGTTCTCCCACAGCTCTGAGCCAAAGTGAGCTTACTCCTTGGGAAGGATGGAGTGATTTCCGAGTTGGGCACATGGAGAGGTTAAGGCAAACACCCAGGAGGTTCTAAACTGGCCTTTCCCTTCCCTGCCCAGATGTCCTCTCTTCCTCCCACTCCTGAAAAACCGTGTGAGGCCCCTCAGCCGTGCGGAGGGCGCGGGTCTTTTCCCGGGAGCATCCCTCGCACAGGGTTGCTGCTTAGCACAGCAGGACGTGGGCTGTGCCTCAAGTGAGGTAATGGGAGAATGAGGCAGGGTGTTTCATGGAGCACACTTTAAACCGGCGCCTTAAAAATAAAGAAAAAAGCCTCTCCAGCTGGAGTTGGCTGTAACGTGGAAGGCCCTCACGTGCAAAGGGCGACGTGAGGGCAGGAGCCGAGGCTGCGGACTAGCAGCCGCGGCCGGAGCGGCGAGCGGGCCCGGCCGGGGGGCGGGGGAGGTGGCCCGGGCTGGGCTGGGCTGGGCTGGGCCGGCCGCGCCTCCCTCCCGCCCCTCCGGAGGAATCCTCCCGTCGCTGCCCGCCTGCTCCCTCCCGGCAGCGCGGCAGGTCGGGGCGTGCGGCGGCGCGGAGCGGCGGCCGAGGGTGAGGCGGAGCGCCCGAAATGGCGGCACCGGTGGGACGGGGGAGCGGGGCCGGGGCTGGGGCTGGGGCGGCAGCACAGCAGAGCCGGGCAGAGCCGGGCAGAGCTGGACAGAGCGCGGCCCCCGGGCCCCGTGTGAGGCACCGGGCCCGGCGTTCGCTCCGTCCCTGCGGGCACCCGCAGGCGTGGGGAGGCGGCCGCGGCCAGCCGAGCCCCGCTCTACCGTAGCACTGCTCTGCTTCCCCTCCAGCGCCCTGTGGCATCGCGCAGCTTCGCAGGGGCTCGGCCCTTGTATGCTTTGTTGTTTTTTTTTCTTGCTTAGGAAAGTGTTTTAACCTGTTGCGGGTGGTGTCATAAACTTTGCACAGCCCGCGGAATTAGTAAAGGTGTTTTGAATGTTGCCATAAATCTTGTGAAGCGATTATTGCCTTCCTCCGCCTTTTGTTCGGTCAAATTTCCCCGTTGTATAAAGAAGAGTTGGCCTTTATGATGGGCTTGTAGGACCCTTGGAGGCGGAGGAGGGACAGAGCGGGGCTTGTTTACCACGCAGTCCAGGCGATGTTCTGTTCCCTTCTTTTTCTGGAAGCTGCATCAGATGGGGAGCTGATGGCAGTGGGTTATTACTGCACCGTGGTGTTGCTTGCCATGAGGAATCTTTACAAGTAGCTGCTTCTTCCTGTCCTCTCGTGAAGAACATAAACTGCAGTAATTTTTTTTTAAAGTCTGACTTTTCCTGAGGGCTTTTGTAATCAACTTGTTGCAGTATCCTGTTAAATTTTAGCAATGATATGTCTTTATTTCAGGCAACTCTAGAGCATCCCTTAAATTCTGCCCTGCTTCACTTCCTTTGTCCTCCTACAGCACTTCCTGGCTTTGAGGGTTCGTGTGGTGCCTCCTAGAACAAGGGTTGATTGACATAGCATCACCCATCAGAGGCCGTTTTGTTCAAACAGTTTTGAAAGAAGTCCCTTTTGAGAAAGCACATTTCCTTTGTGACCTTCATGGCCATTGCTAAGGTTCTTAGGGAACTTTTTGGTGTGATGAATGGTCTTAGCAGCTGGTACTGTGGAGGCTGAAGAGCCTCTTAGAGTGCCAGAGTCAGAAAAATGTCCATCCCAGTTCTCCTGGGTGACTGTCATTGCTGCCAAAGGACTGACTGTGGTGGAGGGAGCAGAGCTCCTGACTTGGCCCAGCTGTTGCTGAGCTCATGGTAACTAGAAAAGTCAGTGCAAAAGTTTCAGTGTTTTGATATTCTCAGAAGCATTCTGCATGCCTAGGACAGGCAGTTCCCAGTCTGTGGACTGTTGGAAGGAAGCTGGTCAATGGGGGGATGGATTGTTGGAAGCTGGGGTAGCATCCCTTGAGCTTTGTTTGACACATCTGGTGACAGGTCCCTGTCAGAGGCACAGGGCTGGCTTGCACAGGTGGGCTCTGGTTTGCTCTGGCGTGCCAGCACTTCTGTGTCACATGCCCTTGCTGGAAGCTTGAGCTGCGAGCTGGAGGAGGTGGCAACTTCTGAGCTCCTCCATGTAATTTACCTCGGATCACATCCTTGCTCTGTAGTTTGCTGGTGATGTCTTTGAGTTCCTGGCCTGTATTTACTTCGGGTCATATGTTGTATTTCTGCAAAAAGCGTGTTTCATTCCAAGCTCTTGCTTTTGTTCATTGTCCTGCGGCTTCTGCAGTGGAGGAGAAGGACTCCCCCAGTTGCCTGGTAAAAGTCCTGGCACTCCCTGCTGTATGCTGGCTTCAGGGAACAATAAGAAAACACCTTTAATGAGTGCTTGAAATAACGTCCCATGTGTGACACTTGATTTTATTCTCGAGTCTGAGGTGATTAGTCCCTCTTGTCGTACATTTTGTAAGAGTTTAACGAATTTTATTTCTCCTAAGTCAAGGCAAGTGTGTTAAAGGAATTTTATTTGCTACTTTCAGTGCAGCCTCTGAAGGTTTCTCTCTTTGGGTGTGATACATTTTTCAATAAGGGGGTGGAAGAAAGCTGCTTGTATTCCCATGTCAAGCAAAAATGCTAGGTGGGAGTGGCTGATGAAGGGCTCTCTTTCCTCTTAGAAACTTTCCAGCAGGCTTATCATTCCCAGAAAATAAAAGTTGTATCATGGCTTGAACCGTTTCCATCATACATGCACAGAAGGCAGCAACTCCCTTGCTCTTGAGACAGCCCTGAGGGGGTTGATTAGAGAGCTGTGTCTCTTCTAGCCAGGTTATCCCACTGGCACATTCACTTGTTCCTTCTACGTAGTTTGGCTTCTTCACTCAGGAATGCATTGAACTATTGGCTATGGATGGAAGGAAAATGTGTATTTACATGTGTTTGTTAGTGTGACATCTCTATCACCATGTGTACCCGTTTCTGGCAGACTATCCTGTCTGGCATTTCCAGGTAATTTGGTTATTTATAAAGCAGTCATACTGTCCCTCTGTTCTTCTTGTGCCTTCTGTTTAAGGCAGAAGCTTAGAAAGAAAAAAAATAACAGCCTCTGTAAAACAAAAAGGGTAGCCGTGTTTTTTCATGTCCCAGTTTACCATTACTATCCCCAATGGCCTCACCAGCCTTATTCCTTAAGCCTCCTGAGAGGATGTTCTACCCCTCAACTCTAATTTCTGCCCTTGTGCTCAACAGTGGGTTATCTCCAGCTCTCGCTGAGCGTGTGCACTGACAGCTGGGGTCATGGAAAGCCTGAGGGAGGGGGGCTCCTGGAAATGACAGCTCATCTCAGCTTCTCTGGCTTTGAGGACAGAAGCCTGAGTCTCCTTGGTTGTTTAAAAACCTTCAAGATCCTAAGGGTGTAGACCAGGTCTCCTCCTTTCTCACTTGCTCATCCTGCCTTTCGGACCCTGAATGTGATTTTTCTTTTGCCACAGCAGAGCTGAAGTGAAATGAACAGTGTCACTGTAAAATCATCCCATTTTCCCATCCTCTTTTGTACGTGCATTTTGACAGAGCTTTTCCCCAGGATGGTGACCATCTTCCCAGTCTGTGAGAAATGTGCTTTTTCCTGCTACCCCGTGTCTGAAGCCAGGGTGTGGAGGGAGAAATGAGGAATGGCAGGTGTGTGGAACAGAGATGAGGTGTTCTGTCAGTTCTGTGGAGAGTGCCTCATTCCACCCCTGCCCATAGCACAGAAGCTGTTGGCTGCCAGGCCCCCTTGGCAGGGATGTGCCCCGTAGTAACAGCACTGCTGATGGGCTTCTCTCTTCAGTGCTCCTTTCTGTCCTGCCTGCCAGACTCCTCTGGTTGTGACCTCAACACCCTGGGATCCTGGGGAATGGATTCAGGGAGTCCTACTAAGTCCTGTGTCCTGGCTGCTGGCAGTAATAAAACTTGGCAAGATGAGCAGGAGGGTGATGACTGTTTTCCACTTCTGGAATTTCATGGCTGAGTAAGAGGTATGTTTTGGGGTCTGGGCATTTGGGTGTGACCAGCTTGGTCCTTTTTTCTAGCCTGTGTTTCTTGTCAGGCCGTTATGATCCCAGTCCAAGCTGGAAAACTGCTATGCAGCTCTGTAGGGCTGGAGTGCAATAAGCTCAATGTGGGACTGAAAGTGTATCCAGCTCCTTAGAAGGATGCAAACATGAATTGATGCCATGATATGCTAGCTGGACTTTTATATATATGTGTGTGTGTGTGTGTATTTCACACATGCTTCCTTTTGATGCCAGTAGTGGTGGACATTATTGGAGGCAGGATACTGGTTTAGTGGGATAAGGAAGGACATCAGGAATTCTGTTCTGCAACAGTTGAGGGAGGGTCCTTGGCAGCTGTTTAAATTCCATTACGTGCTGATCTACAGGCACTGTCTGCAGGGTGCAGCCAAGCAAATACACACTGTGCAACCCTTGATTGATGCTGCACTGCCTGCATCCCTGTAGGTTGCCATGGAGCCACCTCTCCTACCTGCTGAGGTGAGTGCATCCCGGAGAGGGAGTGTGGAGGATGTGGGGTGTGGCATGGCCTCTTAAGAGAGGTGGAAAGGAGATGTGTGGGAGGGGAGGTGCCAGAGAGGATGTTGCTCAGACCCACAGGTTGTTCCTGGTGGCAGTAATGAAGCTGCATAAAGAAAAGCCGAGGCAGGAGTCGGTGACATCAAATGTTTGGCATTGACCGTTGTTTGTTATCTGTGGCTAGTGCCAGATCTGAATACAAAAGGAGCAAAGTTCACTTGTTCAACCCAGGTTTTCTTTACTTTTATAAGAAAGAAAGCAACAGTGGGGAGATGGGGCAGTGGAAAGACTTGTAAGGGTGAGTGCCTGTGCTTTGGTGAAACCTGTCCTTGTAGCTGTGACGTGGAAGATGTACACTCTTAAAAAATGGTGGAGTTGGGCTGAAATTTGCGGCAGGTTTCCCAGATGTCTTTGCCACTGTAGAAGAGGGATGGGTTTAAAGGAAGAAACACTTTTTGGAGATGTGGTGGGAGAAAGATCTGCTGTGCTGTACAAATGGACGAGGTGAAAACGTGCCTGATACCTCACCCTGGAACATTTCTGCTCCTATGGAGAAGAAGTGGACAGGAGAAACATCAAACAGAACATTACTGTTTTGCACTATTGGCATTGCATGGCGGAATAACAGGTGTGTTTTGGAGTGTGGGCTGCATTTGGATCTCGCTGATCTTGCTGGACTCTCCAGTCCCAGCCAGAGAAGTGCTGTACAGCTTGGTAGGTGCATCTCAGACAGGAGTGCAATCAGCTCAGCACAGACTGCAAGTAGTCCTTGGCAGCTCTTTCAGTACAAGCATATGACTTACCAGCATAGCTGGAGCATGAACAATGAATTCACTGGCTCCTTCACTAATGAAATTCAGTTAAAACTGGGACCAAGAGTGGTTTGAGGTAGGAATTACTGTGGGAGGTAGGAATTACTGTGGGAGAGGTTTCTGTTTTGTCTAGAGTGTGTCACTGACCTGTTATCTGCTAGAGTAGCAGCCACAATACCTCTGTGGTTTTTAGGGAGTCCTCTGACCCTCATTGTCCACCATGCTGCAACAATAAAGAAAATAAGGAGAAAGGATGGTTTTGGTCAAATTTATCTTTTATCAGAGCCAACTGGCAGATGGCATCCATGCTGACATTTCTGGCATGCCAGCCAATGTGCAGGACTTTTGTAGTGCCTGACAAGGCAGGCGTGAGTCATGGCTTTTGAATGTCAGTATTGCTTCTTAGCTTTGGTGGAATCCAGAAGGGGGGAATTCATATCCCACAGCTCACCCCCACACTGCCCTGGGAACAGAGATGGTTGGCTCTCTTTCTCCATGGTCACTGTAAGCTCCATGCAGAGCTCCCAGGGAGGTGATGGGAGCTGTGTATGCCATCACAGGGGTGTACAGTGAGTGTAGAAGCCAGGCAGGTGCACACGTGGGAGCAGGAAAGAGTCTCGTGGTCAAGTGCTGTGTGCAAGGAATGTGTGGATGGGAAAGTGTTGGGCTTCATGCTTGTGATTTTGGCTGTTGAAGCATAGAAAGAGTGAGCCCAGTCCTGTGTGGAAGTACCACTTGCTGAGGAGTTGACCTGTGTTGGTTTCAGATTGCCCCTTGCTATGTGGAGTAGCCCTCTTCCATCTTCCCTGAGAGACTTGGGAGGTCTGCTGGAGATGAGGACACACTTGGTGTGGTCCCCAGTGTACCTTGTCCACTTGGAGGGTTTTTAAAAGGACATATTTCTTCTTATTGGAAGGACCTCTTCTTATATTTGGGGAGGAAGAGCTGTCAGGCTGGTTCCTGCACCTTTGAGTCCCAGTTGTCTGGGTTTTTTCCTTCTCCTGAGCAGGGAAAGAGTGCAGGTGTCTGGCTGAGCTCATGTTTGAGCGATGAAGCTGTGCTCAGCCTCAGAAATGGGCTCTGGAGAGCCAGACAAAAGCCTGTTCTGTCCATTGTGCACTCCCAGGGCTTACCTCTGGTGCATGCAGTGTGTCCGACACAGAAATTAAAAAGGGAACGTAAAGCACTGTGCTTAGACCTGGACGAAATCCTGGTTGCTGGCTTCACTGGGCTGTTCGCCCTCAGGCACTGTGGAAGCAGATCCTGACTCTGGTGCGCTGCTGGAAGCCTGGAGGAGGGAAAAGCAGACGGTTGCAGAGGGAAACCTCTGCTTTCACTGGTGTCATGAGCTTTACTTTGGCTGCAATTGTCTCCCTGTGGAAGAGAACCCCTTTGTAGAAACAAAGAGTTTTATTGTTTACTACTTCATCAGGAATTTTAACAATCTTTTAAGAAAAAAAAGGGAGGGGGAAACCAACTTAGATGAGAGCAGTGAGAGTATCCAAAATAAATTAGTTACATCCATGTGATTCTTATCAACAACAGATTTACAAGGGGATAAGTGGGAAGCTGATTTCCCTGTGTATCAGGGCACAACTGCTGTGGATAAGCAGTATTCTCATAATTTTTGGCACCGATAACCACGTATGGCCATGTGTCCCTTGATTATCCTGCTCTGGGCAGTCAGAGCTAGAGCACTCTTTTGGCTGAGGTGAGTAATAGGAGGAATATTTTCTGTGCTAGAATTGACCTGGTTATTTCCAGCATAGATTGTAGAGTTTTTTCTTATTTCTTCAAAAGCAAGAGATAAGTTTTGTTTTTTGGGTTCCTCTCTCCTCGTCTATCCTAGAGGGACCTCATTTTCACAGTGGGCATTTAGTATCGAAGATGGTGACTCGGTTTCTTCAGAAACTTTTGACTGTGTTGTTCTTGGATTTTCTCTTGGGTGTGTTTTGCTTTTAATGCATAAGGATTTACTGAGAGTCTTAATCTACAAGTGAGCTATGGACTGCTTTTCCCCTCCTGCTCACTAATGGAATTGGATGAATTGAAAGATGGATAATGAGTCTTCCCAGCAATGGAGAGCAAAGTGCTCTGCTGCATTCTGCTGAGCTCAGAGAAGTCTGAATGCTGGGGATGTGCCAGTTACATTTTTAGAGGCTCCTGAGGGAACAAAGTATGGTTTCTCCCATCTCCTGAAGTGTTCTTGAGTCTTCTTGGTATTTGAGGGTTATTCCAAGGTAGAATGTGCTACTGTAGAATATAGAGGTGAGCTACTTTTAGCCTTTGAATGTTAACCTTTACAATAACAGGAGATCAGATGAAATGATAATGGTTCCTCCAGACTTAAAGATTGACTTCCAAGGTGGATGGGGTGGTTGCGGGGAGGATTAAGTTTCAAAGTAATTTTAGGCTTTCCTTTACTGAAGCTTCTTGGTAGAGTGCTAAGTTAACAGGGGGGTGGTTTGGTGGAGAAATCCCCTGCAGCATTTTCCTGCTTCGTTTGAAGTCCAGCTGTTTTGTGCTGGCATCTGTCAGAATCCTTTCCCACTTGCTTTTCCTTGCCAGTTCTAAATGAAGTGGATGATTACACTGTCATGGTTTAAGCCCAGCCAGCAATTATGTACCATGCAGCCACCCCTCCCTCATCCCCCTGCCCTGGTGGGATGGAGAATCAGTAAAATAATTTAATTAAAAGTTATGGATTGAGTTAAGAGCAATTTATCAATTGAACCAATGTAAAAATATAATGATAGTAATAATCATTTTAATAATAAAAATAGCAGTAATGAAAAGGGAAAGTGAGAGAGGAATAAACCCCAAGAAACACAAATGATGCACAACACAATTCTGTTGCCTGTCCCCAGTGGTGCTGGGCAGCTCCAGGCCAGCTCCCCCCAGTTTATATCCTGAGCCTGACATTCTGTGGTGTGGAACATCCCTTTGGCCAGTTTGGATCAGCTCTCCTGGCCATGCTCCTTCCTTTCTTGTGCACCTCCTTAATGGCAGAGCGTGGGAAAGGGACAAGTCCTTGATCTAGAGTAAGCACTACTTAGCAACAACCAAAACATGTTTGTTACCAACATTTTCCTCATCCTAAAGCCAAACCACAGGAGAGCACTGACTCTGTGCCAGCCAGAACCAGGATGTACACTGAGACAGACGTGCCAGAGTTGCTGGACTGACTATGGCTCTCACCTTTCGTGGAGAGCTGCCCTTTGCCTGAGCCTTTGCTTGACCAGAGCAAGCCCAGCTCCCCATGCAGCCGGCAGAGCAAGGTGTTTCAGGGAAACCTTGTTGGAATGGGGCTGGGGGATTTCTTTGGAGATTCATGGTGTGTGTGTGTGCTTTGGAACCAGGGACTTCTTTGTATCTTGTCTCCTGGTGCCAGCCTGGTGAAGGGCCAGCAATTCCCTGGAGGCAGCCCTTGCCTCCGGGTTGTTTATCCACATGCTGGTGCCTCCCGGTCAACTTCACAGGCTGCTCCAAAAACAGCTGCGTAAATGGTTTTGGTGGAATCATTAAAACGTGCTACACAAGGGAAGGGCGGAAGGGGGAGGAATGCTTTATTTTTGGCTGGGAGTTGTTTAATTTTACTGGAAGAACGATCCTTTTCAAGGCAGCCTTACGCAGCGTGCATTGAGCATTGTTTCCAGTGCTGCTCCTATAGCAACAGGAGAGAGACAGCTCCTATGAACTTCGACTTACAGCTCTGGGAAATGAAATGCCATTTAATTGCCCTTGACTGTGCTTGATATTTGATCTGAGTCTAATAAAGTGATTTTAGCTGCGGAGAGGAATATAACTCCTCAGATTGTTCAGTGACTGCTTCAGAGCACCTCCAGAGACAATGTTACTGGGAGTGTATAAGGACTGACGGTCAGAAGAGATTTCTTGGCCATTCCTGATGCTGTTATTAGCAAAGTGGGTATTTCCAGGTGTGAGTGTTCCCACATGAAGATATTCCGGGTGGAAAGGGAGGCTCCTGAAGTTGTCACTGGCATCTGTAGCTGCCATGATGAGGTGAGAGCTGCTATTTCCCCGTTCTGAGTCTGCATGATGTTCCCTTTTCTGTCAGTGGGCCAGGGCACTGCAGAGTGCATCACTCCCTTCTTGGTACTGCAGGTACCTACTCCACTGCTGACATGCTCAGAGATTTTCTCTGACATGGCTGGCACCAGTCCTGAGCTAATCAGCAGCAGGTCTGAAGCAGTAAGAATGTTAACCTTGGTTTCCACTGCCAAATCCCTTGTCAACTGCTTTTAAAATATTATTTTAGTGGAGTTCACATTGAGGCAGGCTGCCTGGGAAAAATGTGTGGGATGACTCCAGAGACTTACTTTGCTTGTTTGCACCACAGAAAGTGAGAACAGGAGCAACTCATTCAAAACAAAACAAGTTTTGTACGAAAGCTAAAGCTGGTGTGGGTTTTTGTACACCTCTTGCTTTTGTGCTGTTTGCAGTCAGGTGTTTTGGGCACAGGCAAGGTAGGGCTAACAAATAACTTACAAACTTTGTGGTTTATAGCTTTGCTGGAAGACCAAGGCAGAATACAGACAGGACAGCTTGGCTGCTGGAGGATGGATATTGAGGAGGGCAAATTCACCCTTTCTCTTTGCTGGGAGAGGCACTTAATCTGTCTGTGCTCCTATTATAACCTGCTCTGTGTTTTCTTTATTGGGGTGCTCTGAAGAGGCAGAGGATCTTGCAGGCACTGAGATTGTAGAACACTGTGTGATTGAGAGGCTAGAAATGTACCTTGTGGTGACACACCAACTGCCTGCCCTCTCAAAAACTGCTACATATGTTTTTGACAGTGGGATTTTAAGCCCTATGATTTGTTTGTGAGTTTGGTGCAGTGAAGATGACAGTCTGCCATGGGATATGCACCTGATACTGTGGGGAGGTAGAAAATCTACTGGCTTTTACCTGAGCACCTTTTCAATGTACAGATTTGTAGGCAACAAAACTGCACTGAGAACTGCAGCCAAATTTTGAGTGAGTGTGTAATAGCTACAGTGCAGCATGTGTTCTTTGGTTAGTCTTTGCCCTCAGCTCAAACCACTGTGTAAAAACCCAACTCTTTGTAGAGAGTGAAAAAATTGTTATCACTGCTACGTTATTTGGAGAGCACTTTGAATTCGTGTCCAGAATTGCCTGAATAGGCTTTGTGGAGGCTGGGAGGATTTCTGTCTTCCCAGGACTTTTAGTGCTTGTTGACTTGGTTCTGGTACTGGCATGGCTACAGGGCAGGGAGGTTTTGTGAGCACTCTCTGAAAACACTGAGAACCCAGTGACTTCGCTTCTGAGCACTGGGCTCAGAATGAATGGGATGAATAGGAAGATAATGAATAGGAAGGGATCAGGCAGAAAGTTGATTCGACATAAAATGTTTTGTTTAGGAATGTGGTTTAATGCTACTGGTAAATTCTCCAGCACAGACAAAGCCCTGCTTAAAAAAAAAAAAAAGAAAAAGAACCCCACAATGCCTCTGAACAGAGTTGGGAAAATAGAATTTTAAGTACCAATAGTAGGCTTCAGTAAAGAATTTGCCTTGTCTGTTGGCTGGCCCTGACCTATCTGAACTATTGCTCCTTGTTGTGTCAAACCCTCATTGCTATGAGCTCTCTGCAAACACAGCCAGGCACTGATTTCTGCTGCTTCCAGTGAGAGAAAAGAGGGTTATTGTTCCTCTCCTCAGTTCAATGACTAGTGAAGTGGTTCCTGTGTATAAATAGCCTAAAGTGCTTTGGGATCCTTGGGGATAAAGGAGGCCTTATGGGATACAAGAGGATGTTGTTTGACGAAGCAGGAGTTTCCCTTGGTCACGCAGTGGGTGCCTCCCAGCTCCTGCTGGGGACTAGGTGCTTGGAGAGGCTGCTTGTTTCCCTGCTTACCCATTTCTGGGAGCAGGAGACGTGGGCTTTCTGCTCTCAGCTTGTGCCTGACTCTGAATGTTTTGTCAGGGAAGGGTTTTTTGTTTGCTTTGTAGTGAAACAGTGCTAGGGTACAGACACACAGTCCCAGGCACGCTCGATCACTCTTATCTTTCTCATGCTTTCTTTTCTTAGTGGTTGTAAAATTGGTTTTATGCCAAGGTCCTTGTTATCCTCAAGGATCCCTCGCCCGGTTTGGCTAACTCCCTCATAAAACACTTAATTTGCAGGTATGTGGGTGGCGCTGAACATGTAAATCCTTGCTGAGTTTGAAATTTGATGCTTATTGTTATTTATGCTTCAGTAAGCCCCTCCCCTGGGGAGTAAGCAGTCTTGAAAATACGAGTGAGAGGGCTGAGCACTCTTCTTTGGAGAGACAGCTCTTGTCTCAAAGAGCAGGTGACTGCTCGGTTGTATTAGGCATGCAGCTCCTCTCTGGATACCTGGCTCTCATCAAAATTAGCAGGAGTTTGGGGGCTACATCTCTCTTGAGGGAAAACACAGCAGCTTGAGCCAGGGCAGAAGAGAAAGGAGGGATTTGGCAAGCATCCTGAGGGGTGGCAGCAGGGCTGTCATATGCCCGTGGAGATGTTGCCTGGACACAGAGTGTTGATATGAGATCCTCCCAGATTCCCAGAATGGGAACTTACTTCCCCCTCTCAGCTCTTTGGAAAAGTGCTCTCCCAGTCAAGAGGTAGGGTCAAGCAGGGTCTGCCAGAGATGTCAAGGAGGAGGGGTTTTGTCCAAAATCTGTTCTGTGTACCTTCCCCCCTCTCCTCCCCAAATTTAAATGACAGTTCCTTAGAAGGAGCTTTTCCTCCTCCATGGATGTTTGACTTGTGTTTTGCATTCTCCCCAGCCCTAGGCACAAGTACTTTGACTTTGCAGCACGTTCCAACATGCTGAGATGGAAAGCAAAGCATTGAGCTTTGTGTCCCGGGTCAGCTTTCCCTTCTGAAAAGCCAGGAGCGTGGGAGCTGCACGAAGCACATGAATAAAGGGCAGGACACTAGGGCTGGTGTTGGAGAGTTTGGGCCCAGCCTGAGGAGGATGCTTAAGAACTATTGCTGTGCCTTTTCTCTCTCCCTATTTCTTCACAAAGTTCCTTTATCTGATCTTTAATTAACGAAGCCAGGAACTTTATTTGGCCTGCTTTCCAGTGGCACAAGAAACGGAATTTTCACTTGTTTCTATGAAGAGATGTTTTTATGGTCTAGAGGCTGTGTGGTAATGTGAATCAACAAGTTTCTGGCTTTTATTGGCATCATTTTTCATAGGGAATGGAAGCAGAGGTAATCCAAGCTGGTTATAGATGAAGGTGTGTCATCCATACTGTGCTAGGTAAAGCCTGCAGGAACCCCCTACTTGAACATAAGAGAAAGTTAAAATGGCTAGGGATTGTTAAATTTGATCTGCTAATAAAAAGTACCTTCTTATCTCTTCCCAGGTGGTTTTCAAATGCTCCATTATCCCACCCAGGCAAGTCAGGAGGTATTACTGCTTCCATATCTCTCTATGGGCAGTAGATAGGAGCTCAAGCCTCAGGCTTACTTTGTGAAGTAAATTGGTGTCGTGGTGTAGATCAAAGGATCATTAATTCAGTATCCAAACAGGCTGAGGAAGAAGACTTGTTATCCTCCTCCCCTTCCATCCTGCTGCCTGCAGTGGCAGTGAAAGCCTAGCAGGGAGATTCAGACCTGCCTGCTGTAGGATGAAGGTGAGATGGATGAGGTTGTGGCAGTACAAGTGATTGCAAAAAGTTTGAGACCCTCTGCTTTAGAGAAGCAGGGGAAAGAGGGGATGCTAGAGGCCATTTTCCAGTACAGCAGCCTTATGCAGCCTAGCTGCCTCCACAGAAATGACAAGCCTTGGGATGACACGCCAAGGTTAGAGGGATGGAGTGCTAGCAAGGGCCCCCAGTCTGTTTTTCTGCCATGTGCTGGGTACACCGGGGGATATCTCTAGAAAGGTGTTGTGACTGACAGCCTAGGTGAAGTCTCTGCGCTGGTACACTCAGTGTGGGCAACAAACAGGAGGAGGTGGAAGCCACTGTGCTGCTAGAAAGCCACAACCTGCTTGCCATGACTGAATCCTGATGGGATGAGTCCCATGACTGGAGTGTGGCTATCAGTGGCTACATGGCTTCATCAGAAGGGAGAGCTGAGGAAGGAGGGAGGGTGGGGTTGCCCATGACCAGGTTGAAGACTTGATCACTTCAAGGCACTAACACCATGAAGGGCTTTGCACTGCACAGAACGATCTTCCTGAGCTTTCTCATGGAGTTGCTTTCAGGCCTTTTGCACCAGAATGAGCTGTCATTTTGTGTACACAGCTTTGACAGAATTGATAGCAGCATTAACAGGATGCAGCAGTAAATACAAACCTGTTCTGACAGCTTTCTACCAGCAGAAGATGTTCGTGTTCCCCACTGATGCAGTTTAGCTCTTCCCTGTTATCTAGTGCATGCTTTGCAGTTTAATCAAATGCATTCACAAGGTGTGTATTCTGAAATCGTGTGCTCTCTACTTAAAGGACTTGATGGCAAAGCATATAATCATATATTGGTTTCAGAATAGTCTTTGGCATAGTTCATGATTCTCTGTGTCTCTCTTCTTTTTTCCTTCAGCTTTCTGCTTTCTTAAATCCAGCAGCGGACTAGAGCCAGCAAGAAGAGAGGGAGTGGAAGAAAGCCTTTGAAGAGGACTGAACATTTGCACTGGTGCTGTCACCTGCTTTGGTGGTGAAAGGTCAGTGTCAAGACTGCTGATCCATGTTGGCTATCAATTTGGGGTGGATAATGGCACACAGTGTGAATTTGAACTTTTTACCTGCAAGCTTTAGAATCCCTCTGCTGGGAAGGCCTTGCTTAAATTACTTTTAGCTGCTTTCTGGCAGGCAATAAGCAGCTGGAGGCCCTTTCTGAAGATGTTCAGTGGGGTAGGTAAAGCGTCAGTGGTACTGTTTTCATCTTACAGAGAGGGAACTCAAGAGAGGTCGTTCTTTCAAAGGCTGGAGTTTAGCCTTGACAAAGAATGTCGGTGAGTTTGCTGAAGATTAAAGTTATTGGCCCACACCTGCACTGCACATACCAAGGGAAGGACGTCTGCTTTGTTTGCTGATGGCTGCCAGGGTTATCTGGCCCAGCTCAGATAGTCTCCAGTGGAACATTTCCCTCCAGGCCAGCAGTGTGCCCAGTGGTTGCACTTTTGTTACAGCATAGGTGCAGTGGGATTTCCTGGAGCAAGTTTTTCTTGTGTGCTTTGGCAAAGATGTTAGAAGTTATGAAAGTTGTGGTGTATGAGTTATCTGTGGAATAGTTGTCACTGATGTGTTGGACCCCAATTTGCTTGCTATCACTCAAAAATCGATACTTTTAAATAATGATACTTTTAATGGCCTGGGAGCTATTCATTTGCTTTGGCATTGTTTCTTCCCCATCTGTCAGATGCTGCTTTAGGGCAGGTTGTGCAGAACAAGCCTGCAAGCCTGGCTTTCTTTGCTGTTTAATTAAGTGCTGTTACTGTGCAAGTTGAGGCAAATGTACCAAGCAGTGTCTGGGATGACTAAATGAATGTCTATCCAGCAGGAGTGTGTGTATGCATGGCATATGCTTTCTGAGCTGGGCTGTGAGTGCATGCCTCTGTGTGCCTTTGGGTCTGCAAAGAATAATCCAGTAGTGTGGTGTGGTATGGAACATGCAGAGCAAATCCTGCCATTGAAGTTTCAGGTTTCACAGTTGTCTGTGCAGTGCTTGTGTTCCCAGATGCTTAGCATCCAGAACTGGAGCCATACTGCTCAACTTCTGGTGAGTTCTTGTGGTCTGGTTTGTCCTAAGGGTTCAGTCACAGCAGGATGAGAGCCCAAGAAAATCAGACCATGGAATGGTTTCACATTTGACATGATCTCAGCCTTGCCTGGCAGTCATCCACTGTGTATTCTTACCCTCCTAGGAGGTTGTGGCTTGCAGTCACACAGGGCAGGATGAGCTCACTCTTTACCTTTTTTATCTTTTTGAGATGTTTGCATAAGTTCCTCCTTGCTTCACTGTTATTCCACTGTTATTCACTGTTACTCATATACTTCATTATTAGCATGTCTCAATCTCTGATATATTTGAACCAGCAAGCCTCAAAAATTATTGCCAAAATTGTTTTACCAGGCATTCCTCTCAGTATAAGTATGTATTTTACTAATCATGAAAGAGGTTGTTCCAGTTCACTGGCTGAAATAATCTTTGCTGGCAAAAGCACTTTTGAGTCCGTGAAATCGTGTTGCTGTCAGGTTTTTGCCAATTTGTCATTCACCTGGAGGCTGTCATGCCTCTCAGCTGGCATTCCTCCATCAGCAGAGTTTCTCAGTGCACATCCTCACTTGGTTTAGAGAAAGATGAGGGTCTTGGACTGGGGATGAAGAGAGAGGCAAGGGTCAGACTGAGGGACTTGCCCATGTCAATGTCAGGGTGGAAAGCTGGATTCAAGCTGTTCAGCTCCTAGTTTCTTGAATTAATCTTCAGACTGCTACTCCTCCCTTTCATCTACAGTTTCTGTCACTTGTTTTTTCCTCTCGACTTAATGCATTTTGTTTTCCCTAGAGAATGATTTCTCTCTGTCATTTCTGTTGCAGTGTATGTGGGCATAGTAGGAACCTCTTGTTGATTCTCGTGACATCCATAAAAATACTTCCTTCCATTGTGTGACTAAATTTCACAGCCTGTGTTCCTTGATTGCTTGCTGAAATTTAACTTGCTGATGAAACTCCTGTCTGTTGGACTGGACCAAGTAAACTTCATTATGCAAGTACTTTTTGTCTTCTAACCACTTTTTCAGTTAGCAAAGTACTTTCCATTATGAAGCTCATGTTTAATTAATATGTTTTTATGTATTTGTAAATATAGCCCTGTGGTAGAGCTTGCCATTTCTTGTTCATCAGAGAGCTCATTTGTAATTATTGATAATGATTCAGAACAGGTTTTTGCCTCAGTGTCTAAAATAGAACAGAATTATGTGTGTTAGTTACTGTTGATGCTTCTTGTCCAGTTTCAAAAATGATTCATGTCAGTTCTGAGGGTTTGTTGTAAGGATGACTGAAGGCAAGAGACCCTGGGTATGTCAGTGAATTCAGGATGAGGCCCTCATGTTCATCCTGGTGCTGTGACACTGCTCAACACCTCTGTGCTTTTTGGGACCATGAGGCTCAGAGCCTGAAGTGACCCTAAGCCTGGCAAGCAGATGGTGGTTCCCCCTCCCGCTGCCTTGGCTCCTTGGGAAAAGCATTTCGCTGTAGTCTCCTGCCCTCACTTGCTTTCCCAAAAGACCAGGATAGCTCCCTGAAGCCTGACTCTGTCTTTGCAGGTGATGGGAGGCAGCAGATCACACTGTGTGAGGCAAGGAGCACAAACACGACTTCCAAAAAGAGGGTCTAGAGAGCTGCCTTTCCCTGAATAGTTGGCTGGGTGAGTCATTAAGCATGCAGAGGCAGCCAGTGCCATCAGCTCTGCTCCTGGCTAGGAAGGATAGATCAAGCAGGAGACAGCCCTGATTGCTTTCTGATTCATGGTCTGCCATCCCTGGTGATTCACCCTGCTTTATAAACCTGCAGCTGTTCCCTGCCAGCTTTCTGGAAGCAGGCATATCCTCTCCTGCCAGCAGTGAAGCCAGGCTGCCTGTACCCAGTGCTGGGTGGAGCAGGACCTTGGGGGATTTCAGACTGTCATCTGATGCAAGCACAGTCTCGGCTGTGTGTCTGCCCAGTCCTCACCCTGGACAGGATGGAACTGTGACTGGGATTTCTGAGCTCTTGGATCAGAAGGAGGGACAAGTTAGTATCCCTTGCTAGGGCCCAGCACCTGCTCTATGGCAATATGTAGGGGAAGGAAGGAAGGAAGTTTCCTAAAATGCTCAGGAGCAAGAGGGAAACTGGGCCAAGGAGCCTAAGGACAGAAAACATAGTTATCATGCCCTGGTCAGTCTCTGCAAGCCTGCAGTGTGTGCTCGTCTCATACAGCCCTGATAGTAGAAGGGGTGAGCAGAAGTCTTGTTACTGGAAGTCATCTCTCAGATCTGGGCTGAGGTGCCTGTTCTGAGTCGTGCAGGCATGTGTGGCTGCCTTGCTGCTGCCATTCTTGTTCTGTGGCTTAATGAAACCTCTGGGAACTGTAAATCTGTCACCTTGCATGAATTTTGTGTTCTTGGGGCGTCTTCTCATGGAGAATCTGCAAGCCTGGTCAGTGCATACAGTGCCAGCAGCATCCATTCCTTCCCAAAGCCCGGGGCCCTTTTGTGCTGCAACGTGGTAATTAATCTGAGCATTGCTGGATGTTCTGATTTCTTCTGGAGATAACTGTGAAGAGTTGTTCTCCTTGATCTGTGCCACCATCTCCGATCTGCTCCCTTTGCCAGTGAAGCAGCATACTGTTGCCAACTGCTGTTGCCAGATGTTATTCTGGAGAAAAATGTTTTCTTGTGAAACGGTGACAGGGATGGGCATGGGTGGGACCGTTGGCATGTTCACACTCTTGCTTTCCTTCTTAGCTTCATTTGTCAGTTTCTAAAGCACAGGCCTGGCTGGAGCTTTTGAGTGGGCTGGCATGAAGCACAAGGAAATAGTTTCCTGTAAATAAAATACAATTATGCTGCGGAATGGGCAACTGCTGTTCCCAGCCTTGGTTCATCTGGCTCTAAAGCCAGACATTAGAAGTGTGGTGGCAAAGATAATGCTAATAGTCACCTGATGTGCATCCTGGCTGCGTGTACCTGTTTCTCACTTTCTTTGCTGTCAGGTGTTTTGCCAAGGTAGATGAATCTATACTTCATGGCTGGGTGCAGCTGCAGTGGGTCCCTTGAGGGAGCTTGTATCACTTGTGTGAAGAAATTTTGTAATTTAACTAAGCGTGGACTCCATGCCTCTGGAAAAATGTAGAGGCTGTTTGCCTGCCTGCTTCCAGGGAAATTGCTGGTGTAGGAAAACATTGCACTCTGTTGGTGCACACTGTTTGCATCATTCCTTGCTGGCTGGTGTGGGAGGAAGGGGATTATTTTTTAATTGAATACAAGTGGTGAGGATTTGGTTGTACTTCTGCATCCTGCCTCACACAGGTGATGCTGGCAGCAATGCTCTGGGTAGTGCTTTTATCCTGTCTGCCTGATCAGGCAGTGATGAGAATATTTTTTGAGAAGTTCTGACTTTGAGGTCTGAACAACAGGCAGTGAAGTAACATGGAGCTGTGCTTACTGCAGAGCCACTTCTGAGAATCATGTTCTGAGAAACATGCCCAGGGTGTAGCAGATCTGTAACACTGCACTGGGACTGGCTCACAACAAAACCCCATTCCTTGCATATCTGCAGGGGCATTTTATACTGTCAGATCATCTAAAGCCAAGGGTTGTGTTTCTTCCTCTTAGTAGCTGGGACAGTCTCTTAGTGCCCTGGGGGACAGCTAGCCAGTGAGAAGGGCCATGGATAGTAAGCAGTAATTACTCCAGCAGATTGCTGAGGTTCAAAAAGGATAAGACATCTGAACATATAACAAGTGTGTTCCCAGTTACAGTTGTAGAGATCAAAAATAGCCCAAACTTAGAGAAGGAACTATTCAAGGCAGTTGTGACTAATGCCAGAGAGAAAATAATATTCTCTGGAGACAGATTATTCTATAAATATCAGAGACCAAGGTTTCTGTTGCCACCTTCAGAACAGCAGCTCCAGCCTGTAATCAGGAGCCATACTGGGATTTTCTGGAGAGCAGGCCTGGGGTTGTGCAAGACCTTGTATGAGGGTCACCCAAATGGATCTGAGAGCTGTTTATATGAGCAAACAGTGTCTCTTATCCCTGAAGTCAGCTGGATGATTTGTTTACCAGCTTACTTCAGCAAAAGATTGCAAGTGTTAGATGTTGCAGGAGGACAGCAGTAATGCTGGCCTTCTGGGAGATGTGGTGTGAGGACTGACTCACTCAAGCTTTTCTGGTTTTTGTCTTTTTTTTTTTAGGAACTTGGTGATCCAGAAAGATGCGTGAGTATACAGAAAAGAAGGAAACATGTGGGACCATCTGTCTGAAGTACCTACTCTTCATCTTCAACTTCTTTTTCTGGGTAAGAAAATTCAGTCTGTGTCAGAGGCAATGAGATGGCACCGCAGTTTTGGTGTCAGGGGTGCAGAAATCATGGGCATGATGAAGTCTTTGGGAAGAAGTGCTGCTGTCAGTAGGACACAGCCTTTGTGCTGTTGGGTGAAATGTCACCCTTCAGGCTTGGCTGTCCAGGCTGTAGAAGTTATGGTTTGACACCGTAGCACGTGGCTGTTTCTAGGTCATGTTACCAAATACAGAAGATTACAGGAAGCCTAAAAATAAGCCTTGATATTTCACCTGGTTCACTTTTTCCAGGATCCTGAGGGCTCCACTGTCTTGCCATTGCTTTTCTCAAAATGGCAGAGGGAGTGCTGGCAGATGGCACACACCTTCTTGCAGCTGATCCACTTTAGAGCTTCTTAGAGTCATATTTTCCACTGGGAAAGTTACTGATGCCAAAGGATTGTGTTTTACTTTGGGGCATGGGACAGAGCAATGGAGTGTCCAGGTCAGACCTTTAAGGAAAACTGAGTTTACCAGAAGCTGCCTAAAACCCTCTGGAAGCTGAAGGTTTAGAAGAGAGGGAAGTGCTAGGGATGTGGTTGGGTTCTCTGTGTTCACTTGCTACAAGGGTTAGAGGTTAGCCAGCCAGGTTGGTCATACAGATTTGACATGTTTTATTTGCCCAAAACCCAGTGTGGCTACATTTGGGAAGACTCTGGTCTGAGTATAAACTGCTGTACATAGGCAGATGGTTTTAGGCAGCTTCCATCTCAGGCTGCCTGGGGTGCTCATCTGGGTGCCTTGAAGCTCAGGACCTGCTCCAGTCTTAGAGAGTCCATCCTTTAATGTAGATCATCTTTGGGTAGCTGATGGAGCTGTGGTACATGCTGCTGTCGCAGTCCAGTTGCTCTGGGAGGTGAGGAAGTTCAGACACCCTTCACTTGCCTGCTTCTCTCTCTCCCCAGCTGGCTGGTGGGGCTGTGATGGCAGTGGGCACCTGGACCCTGGCTGAGAAGAGTGACTACATCAGCCTGCTCTCCTCCAGCACATACTCTGCAACTGCTTATATCCTGGTGGTGGCTGGGGTGGTGGTCATGGTCACTGGCATCCTTGGGTGCTGTGCCACCTTCAAAGAGCGGCGGAATTTGCTAAGAGTGGTGAGTTTTGCTTGGTTGTTTTATTCGGGGGAAGCATCTTGGTTGTGTTGTGCACCAGCCTTATTTGTTTATCCTAGAGCAAATATCACTAAGGTCTCCAGCTCCTGACAGCACTGCTGTTCATGTCCCAGGGGACAGGTTTTACTGCAGAACATTTTCTTTCATCCTCACAAAGAATGTGCTGCATGGTTCAAGAGTAAAAAGTGTAGTTGTAATACCTATGCTTTGTGTGAGAACTTCTGTTTGAAACTATTCAAAACAAAATCTTGTGGCTTTTGTGCCTTCCTTCTTCCTTGCCCATTTTATATTCTGTTTTGGAAAATGGGAAGGGGAGGAAGATATGAGAGACCTCTAATAAAACTAGCTTTTAATGACATTAGGTTCGAGAAGATTAATACACTTTTTCACTTAGTTGTCAAAGATAAAACATTTCCAATATTTTCTTCAGTTGCAAAAAATTACTTTAGTCTTGCTTCCACAAAAAAGAGCCATACTGTTTTCATAATCTGCTGCTTCTTTTGCAGCTTTCTCTGTGTTACTTCCTGAGCTCCCTGCTCACCCACCTACACTGAAGTTTTTTATCATCCCTGAGGTTTCTGTTTTGCTTGCTCCCTCTCAAATCTGCCTTTCAGTCTGGAGTGTGGCAGCACTCTGTTTTAGTGTCTGGGCTGCAGTGGTGAGTGCAGTGTCTGAAATAACAATCAGTGGCTCTTGGCTTTCACAGGTACAGAAAAAGATACTTCAGCTGCCAGCTCCTCCCTTTGGAAATCCTCGTTCACCTGACCGACCCCATTTCTCCTCTTTAGTTTGGATAGAGGAGCAGAAATAAGAGTTGTGAGCAAGCCTGATGCTTCACTGCTGTGCAGACCTGATAATCCCCGTGAGAAGCAGAGTAGGGCCAGGGAGGGAGAACAAATATAGAGGGAGACACAGTGAGTGCATTGCTGATTCTTGTTCAGTAGGCTCCTGGTCTGTAGCAGTTGGTTTTGGCCTTGCTTCACTGACTCTCCATGCCAAAGAGATCTCCCTTTGTCTTTTTCCCTCAGCCAGAAGCTACGTATGAAAACCCAGTGGGGTTTTCTTTGTTATTCTGCCATAGAAAACTAATAATTGTCTCTTGGGAATAAAAGGTCACTCTGTCTCCTTACACCATGCGTCCTTTCGGAGTGGCTGGTTGTGACAGACCTATTGTCTCTTCTTGCTTGTGCTCTGCTTTGGTTGCCCTGAGTAATCTGAGACAGGGCTGTGCTTGCCAGGGCTGGGTGAGCCTGGCTGAGGGCCTCTGCCAGCTCTGAGCTCAGACAGTAATCCTGACAGCTTCATAGTCACCCCAGGGGCTGTGCCAGCCAGTCCCACTTTCCCTCTGTATAAGAGACCCATGTAAATATGGGAGGGAGCAGTATAAGCAGCACAGAGCTCTGCTCTCCCCAGTGCTGCCTTGGTACTTTTAAAAACCGATTACTGACAGCTTTGGATGCTATTTGTAAAATCCATATCTGGTTTTTAGTTTGTTCTTCTCTTGAAAAGTTGGGAAGCTGTGAATTTTTTTACTGCTTTATATGTAACTGTGAGTTTTATGAGCCCACTTCAAGGCTTTTCATAGTATTTCATTGCTCATCACTCACAGATGTGCTACTTTTTTGTCATTTCTTACTGGCCTTCCTTAACCATGTGCTGTGCTGAGGCTCGGGCAGCAGAGGTGGAGTTTCTCTGGCTCCATGAGCAGGCAAGGCAGTGGATCTGCAGCCTGGCTGGCTGTGATGCTGCAGTCCAGCTCTTTACAAGGACACAGACCACTATTATATCATACTTCAATCAAAATGCAGCAGGATTCCCAGGGAAAGACCTGTCAAATAGAAGACCTTGCTTACAGAGAGAAGGTGACTTTCTTCAGGCCTGGCCCCTCACACTGTCTTTTCTAGTCAGCTACCTTGGGCAAGGAGAAGGGAACACGCATGGATTAGGATTTCTGTTCATGCTGCATTTCAGCCTGGAACCCTCCCACTGAAGTGAGGTTGCTGATTTCGGAGTATCATTGCTATCTGTCTCTTTTTCAGGCAGTAGAAAGATGTCTCCAGGTAGTTATTTGGATTGTAGGGAGGGTTGAACCATTTTGTGTGTTATTCAGAGCAAACTTAACACTTAGTACCTCACTCGAAATTGAATGGAAGCAATTTGGACTCTGTAGATCTTGAGGAGACACCCAATATCCCTGACTCAGTGTTGGAGCCAGATCCAGGGTAAATTTTATTTAGAGCCCACCCAGGTCCAGGCATGTGGTTGCTAGAGAGCTTCTGGTGATCACACATGTCTGACTTGGGAAACAAGTAGGGCATGTCCCTGCAGTTCCATGCCAGAGCTGGCCTACTCCTCCCATAGCAGATCTCTAAGAAAGCCCTGCAGCTACAGCTGAAGAGCAGGGAGAGCAGCCCTTACTCTGTGTGTGTCCAGAGTGAAAGCTGCTGCTCCCCTATATCAGCATGATACATAGCAGTGGCCCAGAGGGAGTGATGAGAGTAAGATAATGGTGGAGTGTATCAGCAGAGACAGGTTGGGTTCATGGGTGGTGGATGCACTAACCTCCCTCACAAGGTTTTACTTGTGACTCTGATTTGTTAAGGTCTGCTGGATACATGTTTGTTTCTATCCACTGTAAGCCAGCACAGTGAGCAGAAAGCTTGTGGTGACATAACTTTAACTCTACCTGAATGCATTTGACATTACACAGAGCAAGGAAAAATAAATAAGCTTTCCAGTCCATTGGTTGTTCTCAGCATCCTGCCATCCTCCTGCCCCTCCTTGGCAGAGAAATGATGTTAAAGTCAGTTAAGGCAGAACAAGGTGCCAACAAAAGAAAGCCAGCCCTTGTGTCAGGGCCTGCCAAGCCTTTCTCGCCCCTTTTCAACCTCCCGGGAGTGCTGGGAGCAGCCTTTAGCTCTCCTGCACTCCAGTGGGTGACTCATTGCCCTGGGATGAATGGGTACCTTGTACAGGCTGCCGAGATGGTCGGATCGCTGCGGGGGAGAGCCTGGGGCAGGGGAGTGAAAGGCCGAGATTGTGTGCTCAGATTAAAGCCCGGTCTGCAGATAAAACCCAGCTGTCCTTCCTTTGCAGCTGCTGAAGCCCAGCAGGGGTGAAAGAGGCAGCCTGAGTGTGTCATTTTACTCCTGCAGCAGGGGTGGGAAATACCTAGTGAGAAGAGTGCACAGTGGGAGTGTAACCCTTGTGCAACACAAGGCATCGTTGCTGTATCCAGATCTTCACTGTCCTTTCTTTGTGCAGGTTTGATGTCCAGTTACATTTGTAGGGAGACATTTGCTTTGTCTCTTGGTAGCTGCTTATGGCTGAGGGTAAAACAGAAAGTGGGAGATACTTTGTTTGTTCTGTCCTGGGGAAGCCAGCTCTTACAGGAGCTTAGCTTGAGGTCCTTGTTACGGCTGGAGCTAGGGTCTCTTCATCTTTATCTACAGAAAGATTAATTTAATATCAGTCACAGAACAGCCTGGATCTGTAAAGAAACCATGAGCAAGGCAAAGGCTGCTTTTTAGGAGAGGGTTTCTCCCTGAAAAGCTGTCTTGGACCCTGAGCAGAACTGGACACATCACCCTGGCTCTTCAGACCTGCCTGGTCCTTTCAATCTACTGCACATATTCCTCATGGGTTTGGCTTTCTTACTTGTTTTTGAGTAGAACAAGGATCCCAAACAGTTTTCTGTACTGCCCATTTGATTCTCCTCACGGTAAGCAGGGCTTACCCTTTTCACTTCATTGCCACTAATCTCTTCTAAGAAATAGTCATGTTCTCCTATTAGTCTTCTAAGAGTTCTTCTCACTTTGATTTGAGATGCTGAGCTTTTCCATCTAGATCCCAGTTCAGGAGCATATACAGTCCCAGTGCTGAGTGTGAATCAGTGCTGAAGTCCATCCACTTCAGCAGTGCCCCCCAGCCTGTGGCTGAGCCCTGCAGACGTCACTGGGAGCACAAATGATGCTTTATGCTCAGCTGCTGTGCTGTATATTTGGTGAAATTGGCCCTCTGTGGCTGTATTGAATCATTTTTATAACATACATTGCTCCTTAGTAACTTGGTGAAATGCCCTAAACAATGTCAAAACAAGCAAAAGTTTAAATTTTTTTTGTATTGATGTCAGAATTAGGTATTTTCCATGATGCTGAGTGTAGTCATTAGGTTATCTAGCAACCACTTTCTTTTATACAGTGATCTTATCTTGGTTGCCTGCACTTTTCCATTCTCTATATCCCTCTGGCTCTGTGAGTTAAACTCACACTTGCTGCTGCTTGTCCTCAGTTATTCTGTGTTTTTTTCTTAATCTGTGGGATTGTTCCTTTCCCACCCTATTGAAGTCTTAATCCCTGCCCCTGCTTTTGAACACTGCTGCAGAAAAGCATCAGTGAAGACAGAGTCAGGCATTTTACCAGGTAAAGAAAAGCTGCCTCTTGGCATCACCTTATGTTCTGTTTTAATGTCTTTTTCCCATTATTTTACAGTACTTCATATTGTTGCTATGCATCTTTCTCCTGGAGATCATTGCAGGAATCCTGGCCTATATCTACTACCAGCAGGTGAGTGGACATTAGTCCTTGGAGACTCAGACAAGGGAGGGAGAACAGCTCGTTATCATCCCATTTCTCCAGCCAAAATTTGGCCTGGATGCTTGGAACAGCATCCAGGTCTGTTTGTGGTTCACCTGCTCACTCCCCTCCATATACAGAAGACCTTGGATTATTTACTAGTTTTGACAAAGTGATGGTCATTACTCCAAGGGGCTGTCAGCCCTACTGCTCAGCTCCTTCCTGTGGTGCACTTTGTGCCCTGTTTTTCTGCAGACCCTTGTAGAAGACAGTTTTTGAGGCTGTGTAGATCTAGGAACTCTCCTAACAGCCTCCAAGGCATAGTGCAAGCAACTGAAATGACATTAGTGCCACTTTAGCATGTTCAGGACACAGGAACAGTTCCTGCTTCATCCAGCAAAGGTAATGAATGGACCAGCTGAGAGGTCCTTTCAGGTCAAGAACTTTTTGAGAGCTTTACTTAAGCAGCACAGCTGAGGGGCTGGAGAATCAGGACATGCTCCCAACAGCTGCAGGTCTGGCTTGGCACTTCTTGCAGTTGCTGAGAGCAGAGCTTAATTCATCACTTTGCTTTCAAAGAGAATTCAACCACCAAGGCACAAACAGCCTGCAAAGTTGCTCTGTGTCTGGAAATTGATTGGAAGTGGCAAATTAGAATTGTTACCAAATGGCTGTCTGAAAAGCAGATGAACATCCCATCTTGTTGACTTCACTGCCAGGACTCCTTGCCATTCCATTTTCTCTTGGACCTTCTGTGCTTTGCCTTGGATGGGCACTGGTGGTTTGCAAGGAGCCAAAGAGCTGCACTGGCTCCTGCCAGGAGGGATCTGGGGTATGAATGTGCATATTTAACAGGAAAAGATCAATCCTGGCAGGCATGGCAGAAAGCCAGGATCTGTCCATCCATCTGTGCAAAGGCATGAGGTTGATATGTGACAATGGATGAAGAGGAGCTGATCCCTGGGTTGAAATAAGGGACAGCGTATTCAGAACTGTACCCTCGAGTGCTTTAGATCACTTGAGTGTATCTCTGATCAACAGCTGCACATCCCTTTGCCCTCTGGCTGATAAATCTTGCTTCTCTCTTGGCTGCAGGCTGCTTGCTCTGCTTGCCACTGTTTTTATTTCAGCCGTTGCTTTGGTGTCTAAGGCTTGCATGTGTGTCTAAACTGGTTCTTTATCTCTGTTCCATGCTGCAGTTCTTCCCCGTGAGCCCGCAGGTAACTGCTTCTCTCCCAAGTAATAATTCTGCTAATGGACTCTCCTCTTCATTTGCCTCTGCCTTCCAGTTGCTGAACCTTTTCCTTTCTTCCTATTATGCTAAGTCCTTTGCATTTCCATAGAGCTTCCCAGCCCAAGATCTCAAAGCATTTTGCAAATATTAGTGAATGACGCCTCATATCATCTCTGTGAGGTAGGTGCTGTCACCATCTGACACATGGGATTGGAGAAAGCAGTGTTTTAAAGGGAGGATAAACTCCAGACTGTATTTTGCACAGTTTTGCATAACCAGACGTTTTGACCTCTCATTTACTACTTATTATGTAGAATAAAAGTAAATAAAGAGGTTACTCAGCTGTTGTTCCCTTCATCTAAAATGCACGTTGGCATTGTTTATTGGTATAGGAAACTTGGAATTTCAAAGGTGTTGGACTGAAGCAGTGTTGCTGCATGAAGCAGTATGGGAAAAAAAAAAGAGATGCAACCAGGATAACATAAAAGGATGTGGCTCTTTGGCACTTGGCTGTCACCAAAGGGTGAGAAGAATTCAGCTAGATTAAAAGAGTCTCCAAAGGAATAAGTGTTTGAATCCAATCACTTGAACACTTGAACATGTCAGCTTTCAGAAATTCTGCTCTTGCAAAATCAGACTTTGTCTCTCTAATATCAAGAAAAGCCTTGCAGTGATTTTTGCAATCACACACTTAATTCCCTCCTGTGGCATCCTTTTTCAAGATGACACAAGAGTTGTTTGGTCTGTGTGGCTTCAGTCTGTCATGCCAAGGACTCTGATTTCTTCCTGCTCCTGGACAGAGTGATTTGTATTTTTTACAAAAATAGAGTTTTTAGTATTTTTTACAAGCTTTAGAGGGAGAAGACTGCGCTTGGCATATACATGTTTAAGCAGGCACACTTTTATATTCCCTTTCATTGCAGGCATGTCTTGGCAATCTTGCATATCCAAGGTGAGAAGCCACGTGGGGATGTGTAACACAGGTTGAAATTTGATCCCAAAGCAGCCCCCTGCAGTTATTAAAACAGAGGCCTGATCTGTAATCATTTGGAAATAAGCCTGGCCAGTCCAGCCTTGGAGGATGACCTTGAAGGAAGCTGTAGCTTCCACTAGGTTCTCCGTCCTCCTCTTGGAGCAAGGGCAGTGGAATGTATGCAGGGCTTTGGGTCCTTCTGAGGAGTGAGTTTGCCTTGTGATTTTTCCCTTTATCCTGTCTCTTCCATTCAGCTGAGCCTGGAGCTGAAGCAAAATTTGAAGAACACCATGACCCAGAAGTACCGGAGGGAGGGAGAAGAGAGCGTTACCAGTGCAGTGGACAAGCTGCAGCAGGAGGTGGGTGTCTCTGAAGGCAAAGAGAGTTAATGCAACTTCAGGGCTTAAAACCAAGCACACAAAGGGTATCTCTTCATGAAGAAATAACCTACACGTATTTCTTCTGTAGGCTGAGTGTATGTTCTGATTCAAGAGAAAGTTGGGTGAGGTGCAGGGCCTGAGCCATGCAACTGGCAGAATTGCATGCTGTGATCACTGAACTGCATGACCAGTAGCACTGGGGAAATGATATCTGAACTTGCTCCCAGTGAACTGGAGCTGCCAAGTCACTCTGGCAGCTGCTTCTACTTTCCCAGTTCAAAGCTTTGGAGAAATTGCTGACATTTTTCATTAAGCTTTTCAGTACTCTAGAGAGCAAGATGTAATGAAAGAAGAGCTCTCCCGCCCCTGTTGCTCGCTGTGCCTGGCTCAGGGGTGGTTCAGGTTAGGGCTTCCACAGTTCTGACAGGTTGTCCCACAGAAAGGCCTTTGAAAGGCACTTTCAAAGCACAGGGAGTACTCTTTGCATAGTGCCATAGCAGGTGCATTTGTGATGGTAACTGGTAATTAAACTTATCCTGTTGCCATCATTAACACGCAGTTATGAGCTGAGGCAGCTGCAGGTGCACTCTGGTTACAGTTTGTCCCAGCAGTAAACAAAAGTCACAGCTGCTGAAGGATGGATGAACTTGATATTTAAATGGCCATTTGGGGAACTCCTAACACAAAAGTCACTAATGATTATAAAAAAACCAAACCCATGAGATAGCTGGAGTGTCTGCAAAGGAGGGTGAAGCTCAGGGCTTGATGTGGGAGGCTGGAGGGAGAAAAAGGTTGCAGTGCTACAGGCTCAGCCTTTGCTCTCTGTGTGTGCAGTTCAAGTGCTGTGGGAGCAACAACTACACGGACTGGGCTGACAGCCTGTGGATCAGATCTCCAGGGGCCAGTGGGAGGAAAGTCCCAGACAGCTGCTGTAAGACCATCACTGACCTGTGTGGCAGAAGAGACCATCCTTCCAACATCTACAAGGAGGTAAAGAGCAGAAGGGCTTCAGCGCCACCTGTCACTGAGTGTGTGAAGGAGGTGGGCAGGGAGTGATAGTGTTGGATTATTACTGCAAACTGTCAGTAGGCTTCAAAGTCAGTAGCATTCCTTGGAATGTAGAATTCACTTCCTTAGCTGAGTGTTCAGCTCTGTAGACTGTTTTTTAATATGTAGATGTAGAGGAAAAGAATTAACTATGTCTGTTACCACTGGGTACCTTAGGGGAAGAAGCAGGAAAGGTTGTTGGTTCTGGCAAGAGATTTGGATGCAAGTCCTACATTTGACACAGCTTCTTGTGGTTGGAATTACTCTGTGAGGTGCAGATGGAGATACTTCTGGTTCTTGATTGACAGTTGCAAGGCAGAGGTAGACAGAGCTTGGCTTTCCAGGTTCACACCAAAACTCACTGCTGTAATAAAAAGCAGTGGGAAGAATTTACTCTTAAAAGGCTTCAGTTATGTTAGGGTTGTTGGTACTGGATGCACTTAGCAGCATTTCCTTGGCCTTTTGGCCTCACAGGAATAAACATCACCTCCAGGCAGGAGCTAGGCAGTGAGTGAGGGAATCTTTCTCCACGTACCTGAGAGAAGAATGACGCTCTGTGTGTGATGTGGTCGGTTCTTCTGCATTTCTCCTGCAATGCCAGCAGCAACCTTGGGTTTGTTCAGACGTTCCTGAGCAGTACCAGGCATGATGCAGTTCACATCATCTGCTTAGCTTTTCCAGAGATATCGAGCGAAGAGATTGCTCACAGACACCACTTTTTAAAGTGCTGCTTTCAAGGGTCACAGACATTGGATTAAAGTGAACAGGAGGTTAAAATGAAGCTGATTTTCCCATGTCCCTCCTTTCATCCTGCAGAGTGGTTGCATTACCAAGCTGGAAAACTTCATTCAAGAGCATCTGAAAATTATCGGGGCAGTGGGCATCAGCATTGCTTGTGTGCAGGTAAAAAGGGTTGAGGGGAGTTTTGGGGTAGAAGTTGAAGGAACTTCTGAGCTGAGAGATGGAAAAAAAAGATGTTTTACTGCTCTTCCCTGCCTGGCAAGAAGCTTCCAGGTACTTGGGGGACCTGAGGAATTGAGCAGGTCCAAGCAAAAGCCTTGCTGTGGGTGTGGTGAATTCCCAGCAGGGCCGGGGAAGGAGCGGGGCTATGGGAGGCCGTGGCTCGGCAGCCCGAGGAAGCCCTCCCGTGGCTGTGTCCCGTAAGTGCCTGCCCCGCAGCAGCGACCTTCCCACCTGCCATCCTAAGGATTAGCTCGAGTTAGCCAGGAATTTTCCTTCAGCTGTGTCATGTTGAGGAACAGCCCTGTGGGTCTGGGATGATTTGAGAGAGGGTGATGAATAAAGGTATGGAATGTGAATGTCTTGCACTTTCATTTTGAGAGAGGAGGACAAAGGATATTCTTTTTTCGTGATACAGATATATCTGGGAGTTCCTCATCTTCCCCTTTGTTCTGGCAAGCAGCCAAATTACACCCCAGGAAGCTACTGATTAATTACAAGGATTAGCACAGATTGTTTTTTCCTGCTGCCTATTGCAAGCTGGAGTGTGTTATCCCCAGGCAGGAGCTGGCTGACACTCCAGACTGGGTCTGAACTGTTAGTTTTCAAGTTGCTGACTCCACTGCATCCATTCTGTGGTTTTCATGTATTTCTTTGTTCCCTTTACCCTGCAGATCTTTGGGATGATTTTCACCTGCTGCTTGTACAAGAGTTTAAAGTCAGAACCATATTAATAGCTGTGAGAGCTCTGTTGCTCCCCCTCTGCCACTTCCCTTAGCACCTGCCAACCTGACCACTCTCCACCACCACCACCAAAAGTGTCTGTAACTTGAGGACTTGGCTCTGTAATTGAATGCCTTTAGAACCATGCACTGCCTTACCTGCCCCTCTGGGGAAAGTCACCCTCCTTGTTGTGTACGAGGCAGCCAGGAGTTCAGCAGGTCCTCTTCAGTGTGAAGAAACAAAAGAGCTGTGGATCTTCTGCTAGAAGCTTTATCACAACAGTCCCTTGATATAACTACAAAGCAAGATTTATCCAAGGCCATTTCCCTCGAGGCTTTCCCAAGCCAACATGAAGCCATCAGGATGCTGTACAAGAGTCATGGTTTGCTCTCTTGAGAAGTGGCTCAGCAGTACTGGGCATTGACTGTGAGGACAGATGATGGTTCTGCACTGAGCTGGAGACAGAGCTGAGTTTCTCATACATGGAAGATTCTCTCTCTCCCTCCTCCCAAGTGTGCACCAGTGTCCTAACATAGCTGTTCTCCACCAGAGAGGATGGGATGCCTGCCTGGTTACTGGGGGCAGGAGCTGCTTGCCCAGCTGACTGGGAGCACAGCTCGGTGCAGCTGAAATCTAGTTGTGACCCTCATGTTGCCGAGATGTTGTGGGTGCCTTAGGATTTCTCAGCAATTCTTCTTCCTTTCCCTTGAAGCTTCCTCCAACAGAGTGCCATTAGGAGCCACAAGAGGCCTTTTGCTTCCCAGCAGTTCTGGAGCAAAGATGATGGACTGCCTTTTTTGGGTCTAGTTTGTTTTATTGACTGGTTTCCAGCATGAGTGAGCAGTCTTATTTCCACCTTCCTATCCCCTTCCCCAGGTGAAGAACTGGTCTTTTTGTGGGGCTGCCATATTTTGCTACCCTTTGGCCTGCTCAGTTAGTGGAAATACCTTTTTCATCTGTTACATGTTGAGAGGTTCCCTTGGTTTGATTTTTCTAACTAAAACCTCCAGGTTTGCCTCCCTTGGCAGGAAATGAATATACACCAATGTTTTTCAGCCTCCAAAGAGCTTGTTAATCAGCTGAGGGTTTTCTGGCTTTGTCTGGAAGCTCAATTTACTGATTACTGCCAGGAAAGTCAGGAGAGTCAGTTTCAATCAGTTGCCCCAGTGTACTTGGTAAACTGGTACTGCTGGGTTAGCTATTTGCTGCTGAGGAATAGGTTTTAATTAAATATTAAATTAATTAAAAATTCTGCATTGGAATCCTGGATACCTACAGGACACAGACATTGCCATGGACTTGATTGCAGCCTGAATTGACAGGATCTTGTGTTCCTCTTGTCTTGTTCCCTCCTTCCTAGTATGCCTGATACACTCATGAAGCAGCATAAAGGGCAGTTTGATGTTTCTGAGCAATGAAGACAAGCTCAGACCTTCATAAATAAATTTCTTCCCTCTTCTGGCCTTCTAGCAGTGCTGGCTGAGCCCTGTCCCCAGCAGCAGACAGCCAACAGAAGCAGAATCATCCAGACCAATAAAGGATCTTGCAGTATCGTGGGGGTTTTGGTTCACAGAGCAGAAATCGTGGGCTGCAGCTAAAGGACAACACGTTAAAATTCAGAGCAGGTCAATCTGAAACTCCTCCATTATCAGTCCTATGAAATAATCCTCAGCTAATGCAGAAAGAGAGGTGTAGGAACTGAGGTGTATCCTTGGTTCCACAGCAGTAAGAAAGAGAGGAAAAATATCTAAATTATTCTGTAATGATCTAAAGGAGAAATCTCTAAATTATTTGTTGTTTTATAGTAAAGTTCCTTAACAAGTATTGACTACTAACTAAGAGGAAAATATTGAACATGTTGCTTGAAGCAATATTTCTGATTTCTTAAGCATATCTTCATAGCTGCCTTTGCCCATTCCCTTCAAACATACTGTAAGGGTTGGGAGAGGCCAGGAAGAATGAGACATGAACAGTAAGTTGGTTTGTATCCACTGAGCTGTTTTATACTTTTTCTCTATGTAACAATATTCATTGCTTTTGGGTTTTTTTAACCCAGTTTAAGTTGCTGGCCAATAGAAAAATAAAGCTTAAGACTCTACTGACTGTGTGTGGCACAGCTGAAGGGCTACCATTCTCAGGTGAGTTCTCTGGCTTGCTCAGATCCTGCTGCAGAGGAGCCAGCTCCTCGAGAAGAAGATGAATGGAAGGACCAGGGAAGGAAGGAAGGAAGCTGGGGAGAGTCTGCTTCACATCCCTGCCCCTGCCAGCCTGGTTATGATGTGCTGCTGTGGGGTGCTGCAGGCTGCTCCCCCCGAGAGCTCAGGGTGCAGAACCTCAGGGGTTCTTGAGGTCACGGGGGTTACAGAAAGTCATTTGGGCTTACCTGAGGTCATGGAGTCCCTGAGAGGGGTTACTTGAGGGCATTTGAGGCTCTGATAATTGATGAAGGGGCCAAATGAAGGGGATAATTATTACAATGAGAAGGGACAGTTTGATGTAATGGATCAAAACTTCTCAGTGCAGTTCAGGGGAGCCCAAGGCCTCAGGGTCATCCAGTGGCCTGTGGTGTCACCCATCATTTGCCCTCTGTCCTGTCAGGGTAGTGACAGAGGTGGTTATTAGTTTCATTAATATTTATTATTAATTAGTAGTATTAGTTTATTTTATTAGTGTTTATTATCATCTCCTGTAAACATTAGCATTTATAGTATTGATATTAGCTATTAATACAATTACCGAAAATTCTACTGTTGGCATCAGTTAAATTCTATTTACCATATTATGTTTTAGGATCGAGTAGCATAATCATTTATTGCAACCTAAAATGATGATTATTTATTAGAATGAATAGCAGATTTGTTAGTATTGGTAGTTATTAATGCATTATTAGCTGCATTATTATTATTATTATTATACAGGGGTATCAGTGTGTCCTACTGGAACCTCCATGGGGTTTTGACCTGAGCAGGGGCAGGTCAGGAAGCGGCAGCAGAGCCATGGGGATGCAGGGTGGGAATGCCCGGTGTCCGGCGCAGTGCGGGCCGCGGCCGCGGGGGGGCGACGGGCACGGGGCGATGGGCACAGGGTGGTGGCGATGGGCACAGGGTGGTGGCGATGGGCACAGGGCAATGGGCACAGGGTGGTGGCGATGGGCACACGGCGCTATCCCGGCCCCGGGAATCCCGCAGCGGAGGGGAGCGCAGCGCCCGCAGCCCGCCCGGTTCTCGGGCTGCAGCAGCGCAGTGCTCAGGCTGGGCTGGCCTGCGCTCGGCTCTGAGCACAGATTGCTGCCGAAAAGACCCGCGGGCGTCTTTGCCTGTGCAGGGGACACGGACCCGGCTGGCTCGGGAGTGGCGGGGCGAGCCAGGGCCCCGCTGCAGGACCGCCGTGCATTCCTGGCATGCATTGGCTAACACAGGAATGCGACTGTGGACATTTAGGAGATCTCCTCCCAAGCCCCGTTTCCAGGAGAAGTGAGTTGAAGGTAGAGCGCAAACCGAGAAGGAGGGACTGTCCTGTTCCCCTGTGTGTCCTTAGGAATGCCGTGTGGCCACAGCCACCCTCTGCCACCCCCAGAGGGAAATTGCCACCCTCTCTGCAAGACTGTCCTGGGGTGGTGTCTGTGACGTCTGGAGCACAGGGGTTCTAAGCATGAAGCTTTAAAGAGATTTCTTTTTCTCTTCGGAAGGGCTTCTGCAGTGTTTGTGGTCAAGGTGCAGTTGCCATCCTACAGCATCCCCACAGCCTCAGGTCTCTTGGGTGCTTTCCCCTCTCTCAAGACAGGAGCACAGGCTTGTCTCGCTTTGGACCTGGAGATTTCAGCGGTGCTAATTGCCTTTTGCAGCCCTTAGCGCAGCCCAGGGTCTGTGCTCCTGGGGTGGCCAGGTGGTCAGCACAGTTTGCTCGGGAAGGAAAGGGAAAACAGCTGGAGTGGTAAGCAGTTTCTGCAAAGGTGCAGCTTCGGGCAGTCACTCTGTTCCTGCCGTTTCAAACAAGACGAGTATTTTATGCAGCTACAAAGCTGCTTCTAACCCCGAACCAGTTCACAGACATGCCCTTTCTTCTCTTGCCATTTAACTGGGGAGAATTTTCCCCCTGGGGTGCCTTGGTGCCCCTTTCTTTTGCCATTTATGAAGCCTCCCTTCAGTGGTGATTGTAACATCCTTGTTTTCCTGATGGGCTGGGACTGAGCACGGCTGCAGCAGTGGAAAGTCGAGGCTCAGGCAGTGATACTCTCCTCCCTGGTGAGTTAGGACAAATCCAGCCTGCTTGGGAAATGGCAAAGGGGAATGCTCTCTCCTTTCCCAGCAGGCCACGGAGGCAACGGGGAGCAGATTCGTGTGGTGCCTTCAAAGATGACAAATTCCTTTTGGGGAGAGAGTGTAGTGCTCTCAAACGAGCTGTAATCACATGAGCAGCAAGGATGCTGATGCCCCCCCAAATGCATTCAGTGACTCATTCCAGCATCATTCCAAGTACCCCATTTTGGGGTTCTAAAATCCTCTTAAACGCTCCTCAAAGGATGCTGCTCCTCCTGCATTAACACAAGGGAAGCTGCACGGGCCGGGGCCATCAGGATCAGCAGCTTTCCCTCTCCTGATTACAGCACCTCTCTGTAAAAATGAGCTGCCGAGCATGAGGCATTTCCAGGCTTCATTTTTCTGTGCAGTGAACTGTGTTGCTGAAGAGAAGAGCAGCTTCTACCCACACAGAGTGCAGGGACAGTGCCCTGGCAGGGTCTGATCCTGCCACCGGCTGCTCTCTCCCCACATTGGGACAGCAGCAGCCAGCCCTGTGCCCCTGCAGTCCCAGATGTGACTTTGACAGCTGTCACACGTGTCCCTGGCAGCCCTGGGGGGAGGGTGAGGGTCACACTGAGCCCCTCGCACCCCTGGGGTCAGAGACAACCAAAAAAGCAGGCACTGACACTGGGGTGCAGAGGTGTGGGGTGACACTTCGTAGCTTTGACCTTATGCGTGTGTGCGTACGTCTGTAGATCTGCCACGCTGGAGGATTTCCACTGCTCATGGAAAGCCTTACAGGTGAGGTTTGTATTTCTTACTTTGCTCAGAAAGGCTGGAACCCCTTTATCCCAGAAGTCTGACACCAGAAAAATTTGCTTGATCCTCCCAGTCATGATTTCTCTCCCTCTCCTCCCCAGTTCCTGGGAGAGCTTCCTGTTTAATCACTTTTTTACCCTCCCAAGCAGTTTTTAGTGACTAGTTGCATTCCCATGTTGTTTTACATGCTTTGATTCTTTGCTGCCCATCTTGGGATGCAGAATTAGGCAGTGATGACCTGAAATGTGAGGCACCAGGCTTGGGTTTTGGACTTCAGCTGCTGTCTTCACTCCTGGAGGATGTCAGCTCAGTTCCCTCCAGACTGAAATAACAGCTAATGTCACTGCAAAATGACATCTGAAGGCATGTTCCTCTACATCCAGCTCTTCTCGTTCTTCTCTTGCATGTTAGTCCTCTGTAATTTACTAAGCATCATCAGGACCTATTTTATATTCACCTAAATTAAATTTTGTCCCATTTAAATGTGCCCAACTGTCTAAGATATCCCAGGCTAATTCACATTTTGTCCTTGTGTTTTCCATCCTTCTTCCATCATCGTTCCACAAACATGATCAACATTATAATTTATTTCCTTTTCCTCCTTCCTCCCTCTCCCACCTCCCTTTTCCAGGTTTTTAATAGCAACCAGTTAAAGGCTGACGTGCTCTTTCCTCTGCTGAATGCCTCGTGCTCTGCGGATGGGCTCATGAATGATTCAGTTGTTTAGGCTCTAGCTGGCAGTTGTGGCAGGATTACTCAAAAGAAACGTTTGAGGTTTGTCTACAGTTCCAGATTGAAAAATCCTGAACCCCAAAAGAGGGAGCAGAGCCCTAAACCATGGAACAGTGAAGAAGGTTACAGATGTATTAAATATATTTTTCACGTATATTTTACAGTTCATTTACTACAGGTAATGTCATGGGATCAGGCTATTAAAATCACACTTCCAACAAATGTGGGCTCTTGGCCCCCTCTACACCAAAAAACCAACTCTGCCTTCAGGGAGTGAACTGAATTTAAACAAACGTGGGTGAGAAGAGGCAGCATTTCACAAGCAGAGCAGGGGGTTGGCAGGGATGTGGTTACGGTTCTGACTGGAACACAGGAGTTGTGTCCCCAGTCTGCCTGGAGGTTTGAGGACACCTCTTGTACCAGGCTGTTTGGCAGAGCTCATGACCCCTTTGCTGAAATGAGCAGCTACTCAGATTGTACTGGTGCTGGTGCTGGGAGGGAGTGGAGGAGCAGACAGCAGTGCAGGAAGAGTCCATCCTGCACCTGAGTGAGAGCTGAGCTCCTTCTCACCTTGGAGCCCCCCACCAGGGCCTGCTCAGCACGATGGACAAATTAATTCCTAGCAGTTTTTTCCTTTTTCTTGTCCTCTTAGATTGAAAACTTCCTTTTAGTGCCTGTTCAAGCTGTGCCAAGCTCCATGGAGCCCCAGTCACAGCTGCACCTTTTCAGCTCTGCCTGTAATGTAAGTAACAATAAAAATACTGCTCCTAAGGAGTTATGACCCCACAAAACTGCTGAACTCTGGCACTCCTCTTCTAAAACCATTCTGGTTTTGAATCACTCAATTTTTTCTGGTTTCACATAGCCTGGAGCTTTGACTAAACTTGATTCTACTTTTGCAGGCAGAGGTTGCTGGAATGTGGATGCAAATAGCTTCTGCTCTCCATGCACTGCTGCTCTTATTTCACTGCTTTAGGATTCAGAGTCTTTCTCAGAGACAGGGTCCAAGGATGCTGCTTGTCTCTCTGGGGAGGACCAGGTGCTGCCAGCCTGTGGGTTAACTGTTAGCAGGAACTAGGCTGGAGCAGAGAGGGAGTCTGGGCTTTGGGGAGAGGGAAACAGTTCCTGCTTCACCTGCTTAGAGCCAGTTCAGGGGAACAAGTTCACCATTCTGGTGCAGTTTTTCATTCCACTTTTCCCCAGGAATGGGTCTTGGAGGAGGCAGCGATCCACAGCCCCCTCAGGTGCTCCCAGTTGCTCCACAAACAGACCCTGCAGGTAGGGGCAACCTGGCTGACATCACCT